CACAAAAAAACGTTCAGGAAAAGGGGATGCGACTCCAGTCTCGCGGTTCAAGAGACGGGGACGGTACCACCGCCCCCCACCACGTGCCTCGCGAAAGCGGCCTCAGTGGTGTCGCAGCCGCGGTAGAGCCGCGGGTTCGCCAGGCCGCCCCCCGGCCCGGCGTCGCCCCGGTCCCGGCCGCCAGCGCGAAGCGCGAGAGCGAGAAGCCATCGTGGAGCACGACGCCGAGGCCAGCGCCGAGGTCCGCGCCCAGGCCGCCGACGCCCCGCCGTCGCAGCGGGTCGCTCCAGCGAGGACCAGGCCGCGGGAGACGGCCCTCCGACCACCCTCGGGGGCGACTTGGAGGCGAACAGGTGGGTGTCCCAGGGTGGCTTCCGCACCCGAGGACGCGCCGCGGGCCTGGCGCGCCCAGCCAGCGGCCGCCTTCACAACACACACGCCAAACACACAACACACTCAGTGAAACAGCGCCCGCCGCCTCATCTGCATCATATTGTTGTTGTTGTCATCGTCGTTGTTGTTCTCTTTGTTGTTGCTGTTGTTGTTCATCGCTGTTGTTGTTTTCGCTGTTGTTGACGGGGTCCTCGCGGCTGTTCCTCGTTGTCGCTGCTGGTTGCATAGCGCGCTGCGCCTCGCCGCCGAGTTCTGGTCTGGGCCGGCCGTATACTTTTGCCCGTGGATCGATGCCTTCAATTATATACGCGATGACACGAGCACCTTTGGCCCTCTGGCCTCGCTGCCGAGCCATGGGCCGAGCCATGGGCCGAGCCATCGGCTGGCCTGCGAAGGAAGGGCGCCAGGCCCAGCCAGGCCCAGCAGGCCACCGACGCTGTTTTCCTGGACGAGGATGAGCACGGGGAGGGGGGAGGAGGCGGCGGGGTGTTTGCGTCCCAGGTCGGTCCCGGCCAGTCCTGGCCCGGGTTTGTTTGCCGTGGAGTGACATTCTGGAACCCCTGCGCGGTTTGCAGTGCACGCTGTAAAAGGTTTTATGACTCGGCCAGTAGTAAACACGGCGGGAGTATGCCGACGGGGCGCATGTCAGGGAGGACGATTCGCAGAGTCGCAATGCAGTCCGTCGAAACGAAAGACGCCCGTTACAGTGGAGTGGACGAGGACGGATGAGCTGATTGGCTGAATGGGAGGGTTAACAAGTAAACGGCCGACTCCTCTTCATAGCATTTACTTCAATCCACGCTCACTGTTGTTGAAAATTAAGTTAAAAATATGTTGTTTTTTTTACATCTAAGTGCAAGGTGGGGTAGAAAAGAACATGTTGAGAAAGGGGCACCCCCTGTGGTTTATACATCTCGACACACATTTCACACATATTTCAATGTTGATATATGTAACTGGTTCAAAGCTGGCTCAGTCAAACTTGCTCTGGAAGGATGAAATTTTCTCACCCTGTCCTTTTTCTCCCCCACTTTCCCCTTCAACTTAATTTCATACTCCAATTTTGTGTTTGAAGAGTTGAACACGTCACTAATTCAAATAAGTTACGGAACGGAGCTCTTCAGTCTAAGGAATCCAACAGACCAAAACCACTGTCAGCATTGAAGCCTTCATTTTAATTGATGGCTGTTGTTATCCAGTCAAAGTCACTGAAAATAGCAGCCGATCCAACGAGTGGGCCCCTGGGCCAGGGCCTCTGGCCCGACGCAAGCCATGGCGGTGGACTAGCCGGCGCGAAATTCAAACTTTGGCGCCTCCACCGCGGAGTGAACAAGGCGGACACGGTGGGCGGAGCGGCGGAGCGCGGAGGGGGTTGTTGTGAGGAAGTAGGGCGCGCGGAGGGGAGCCCGGGGGCTGCAGTGGCTCGGCAACATTCGGCCTCGTCCCCCTATTGATCCGAGCCGAGCCGAGCCCAGCCGAGCTGAGCCGAGCCGAGCTGGGCCGAGCCGAGCCGGGCCGAGCCGAGCCGGGCCTCCCCTCCACTTCCGCCCCTCACTGCGGCACGCCGCGTGACGTCATGCCATTGAAGAGGTGGCAATGCTGGCGCGGCATGGCGGCCACGCCACTGCATTACCACCTCCGCACCAAGCGGAGCACGAAGAAGGACCTCGAGAAGATGGCCGCGTTGGCAGGGCTTGGCGCAGCTTGGCGGGGCGGCGAGTGCCACCGCGGGTACCCGCAGCAGCCCCAGGGCTGGGGTCCGCGCCGCGACGCGCCGCGACGCGCCGCCTGCCTAGCCGCCTCCCAGCCGGCACCCCGTCCTGGCACTCGGCCAGCTCGACGGGGTGGTGGGGGTGGCGCGCGGTGCTGCCCGTCTGCCTCAGTTCCCCGCCAGAGCCTGCCTGGTTCGGCTGCCAGTGCTGGCTGCTGGCAGGCCGCGCGCGCTGTGCCTGTGTGCGCCAGGACGTGCTCCGGGACTCGGGCGGCTCCAGGACACCCCGGGCGGCCGCTGGCCAAGGCCCCCGTCGTCACGGAGGCGGGCGTGGCTCCGGCGTGACGTGCGCCGCGGCAGCGACGACGGGCTGCAGGACGGCCATGGGGGTGCGCGGCGGCAGCGGCGGCAGCGCGTGGACCATGTGTGTGAGCGGCCATGCGGCCGTGCCAGGCTGCTGGGCGTAGCGCCGCATAGCGCGGCCCGCCCACGTGGCGAGGGCGGCGCGGCGGGGTGCTGCTGGGTCCAGCTCGCCGTCGCCGTGGCGCGCCGTGGCCGCGGCCCAGCAACACCCTGGCCGCCCGCGCCGCGTGTGCGTGCGTGTGAAAGCGTGTGCGAAAGTGTGCGTGAAAGCGTGTGTGCATGTGAACGCGGACGTGTTAGTGTGAGTGTGTGTCAGTATGTGTGTGTTCTCCTTGATCCCTTTGAAGATGGCGACCCTCGTTGTGGCGTTCGGAGACACGGAGGGGAGGTGGCCCCGTGGCCGGACGCTGGGTCCAGTGGGCAGAGGGCTCGCTGCTCGTCCGGCCCTGGGGCGGTCCGGGGCGAGACCTAACTGGACGAGGCCGGCGACGCCGCACCGGCTCTAACTCACGTCCACCTTAACTGCCGGCGGTAATGTCTCCCCGGGCCAGCGTTGGGCCAGCGTTAGGACTGCGGGCTTTGCGGGCCGCAACCCGTCACCTCCTTCTTGCTTCTCACGCGGCCCCCACCGGGATTCGAACCCGCCGCCCGCTACCGCTATCGATCGCGCGTCGGGACCAACATTTGGCGACGTCAAGGCCGCCGTGCCCCGCGCCGCCCAGGGCCCCGCCGCCTGCACGCTGCTTCCGACTGTTTCCGCCTTCCGCACTGCAATTGGCCCGACAGCATCCTCGCTGTCCCTCCCGCACCCCCGCGGCCCGGCCGCCCCGGCCGTGAGTGCGAGAGGGACAGCGCGAGGCCGCTCGGCGCCGCGTTTCCCCGACGGGGAACCCGACGGGGACCCCGGCGCGGAATCACAGCTGGGTGCGGGCGGCGCGTTACTCGCCCCGCCGCGGCCACGGCTTACGATGCATCGATTTTGCCGTCACGCCTGCTGAGCGGGGCGTGGCGGGGCGTGGCGGGGCGTGGCGGGGCGTGGTGGCCGCATCGGGATTTGACGTGCTCGTACACTCTCCGGAAATGGCACACCTTGTGAATAACCCAGTAACGCTATCCTCGCGGGCGGGGTGGGGCGACACTCTCCGCCCGTCAGGCACTCAGTGCCCTGCTTGCCCTGCTTGCGCGGCTTGCGCAGTCCCGGCAGGCCACACCCACGGACACCCTAGACGGCGTGGGCTAGACGGCCGCCACCAACAACACCATCAACAACAACAAGCCTAATTACAAGTGACCAGGCCGGTGAGCCTCGTGTACAGTGTACATAGTGTCACCGCCTGTGGCTGGGCCTCTGGGCCGCTGGGCCACTCGGCGTGGAGACGAGAATGGTGGCGGGAAAGAGGTGCAGGGCAACCAAAAAATTGGCGAAAAGAGAAAAATCAGAGTGTACTTAGTGAGAAAGTTTGAGCTCTGGCTGTGGAAACGCTACCGGGAGAGCGCCTGTGAAGAGCCGGGTAGGCAACCCAGCGGACCGAGCGCACGGCCGTGCGGCGGGCTGGCCTACACCGCCGCCTCGTTACCATTACCATTAAGGGCTAGACCACACATGATCGTTCGCAGGCGTTGGCGAGCCCCAAATACACGGCGCGGGCTGCTTTATCGGCGTCTTCCCTGACCAGCCCAACGAGGGCCTCTGTTCCAATCAATGGGATGGCCGGCGCGCCGCGGCACGCCCAGCCTGACTGCACTTAGGCCCGAGTGGATGGATTACGGCGAGGCGAAGGGAAGGGCTTCGAAATACGTAAAAGGGCGAGCCCGTTGTGGACAGCGCGGCGACGCGGCGACGCGGCTAACAGGATTGCTCGCCGATGTGACACCTGCGCTCACAGCAATCGGGCCTTGTTGGTGTCCACCAGCGACCGGCTTCCGAACACTGTCGCTCTGTCTCTCTCGCACTCGTGCGGCGTCCCGTGGGGGTCGAGGCCGTCGGCTCCACCCCGCTGGAGATCGTAGCGCGATTTGGTGACGCTAATTTTCGGGTCCACGCTCACACGGCCGGCCACACGGCCCTTCGTGTTCGTGGCGGCCTACAGTGTAGTCGAGTCGGCCCGAGACCTTTCTCACGGGTACAGTGTAGGAGTATTTAAAGGTTCGCGACGCCAAGAAAGGCCGCGTGCCGGTCGATGCCGGTTTTAATAGCATCACGCCAACAAGCTGTCTCTCTCCAACTCGTGGGGTTCGGAGGGCAAAGAAGCAAGCGAAGCAGGCGAGGCTCTCGGGCCTCCAGGTCGAACGCCACGTGCAGCACCTGTCTGCAGTCCTGTAGCTGCAATCTAAATCGCCCACTCAATGATGACCATCAAGACCATCTTGTCCGAAACAAAGCCAAGTCGGCTTTCTGTTTTTGCCGGTCGCGCTGGATTTGCATCTGTCTGTTCCGCGGAGGGCTGCCTCGGGACTCGGTTTGTAGGTCAAGCCGTCCAACCGGCACACTGTGCGGCACACCGGCACGGAGGCCGGAGAGGTGGGGGGGGGGGGTGCGGACGCGGCCCCCCGGGGAACCAAGGAAGTACCCTTGCCCTTTGCGAACAATGAGGCGCCAGCGAAAAATGGGCCCGGGGACAGTTGTTGCTCTGAATGCGCGAGTGTGGCTGAGTGAGTGTGTGTGTGTGTGTGACTGCATCGCGTTGAGTGTGTGAGTGCGTCCCGGAGTGGCGTGCGCGCGGCCGGCCCCCCTGACGCGCCGTTCTTCCAGGTGACTGCCGCCCCGTAGTCCGGGGGCGCGGGGCGCGGGGCGGGGCGTGGGGCCCTCCCCTCGCCGACCATGCCGAAGCAGACGCACGTGGAGGAGCCTCTCATCCCCCCGCAGGACAACAAGATCTGCGGGGTGATCTGCCTGTGCCAGCTCACGGCCGTGCTCAGCTCCGTGGCGCTGGTGTACCTGTCCGTGGCCGTGTACATGCCGTCGCTGCGCGCCTTCAACTCGGGCGTGTCCGAGGTGCCCGTCATGTGCACCACGACGCGCGCCGTGAACCGCGAGTCGTGCGACTGGGGGACGTGCGGCGAGTGGTGCCTCAGCAAGTCGTCGGGCGCGTGCATCCAGATCCACGTGTCGCTGCGCCGCAACGGCTCCAGCCTGCTGTTCGCCAACTGCAGCCACACGGCCAACAAGACGTGCTACGGCATCGACCAGGAGAACGCCAAGAAGTCGCGCTGCATCGCGGACGAGTGCAAGAACCTGACGGGCACCTTCAACTGCACCATGGGCACGTGCATCAACATCACGGACGCCTTCAAGTGCGAGTTCACGGAGACGGAGGCGCCGCTCAAGTGCTCCGGGCGGCGCGGCAAGATCACGTGCATCGAGATGGACGGGCTGCAGAACTGCCACCGCGGGCTGTGCGAGCGCATCAAGACGCCGTACAACTGCGACCGGCGCTGCGTCGACATCCCCACGCGCAACAAGAACACCATCCTGCTGAGCGGCGACAAGGTGTACCTGTCGCGCTGCCAGAGCGCCATGCTCAACGACTCGGACTCGGAGGTGTGGAACGCGCGGCAGGACAACATCCTGATGGCGTCGTGCCACACCATCACCAACACGTCGCGCGGCGTGGAGGCCACGGACTGCATCAACGGCACGCTGCTGGACAAGAGCGCGCTCACCGACCTCACCAACTTCACGTACTTGTCGCACCTGAGCGTGTGGAACCCGGTGCCGCTGGACGAGGCGCGCGTCGTGGCGCCGCCCGAGCAGGACCTGGTGATCGCCAACGAGAGCCGCCTGCTCATCAACCTGGAGGGCTGCGTCAACACACTGCGCGACGAGTGCCGCGAGTTCCTCCGCGACTACGGCCAGGACGGCTCGGACCACAACGCGCGCGCGCGCTTCCCTTGCTTCTACGCCGAGCTCAACACGGACATGGTGGTGGCGCGCTTCGACCTCGAGGCCACGTACCGCGAGTTCGTGGTGGCGTCCCTGCTGCCCTCCGTCCTCTTCATCGTCTCCTGCCTCACGCTGCTGCTCTGCCAGCGCACCGTCGAGGTCGGCGACGACGCCAAGATGCGCTTCAAGTGCTGCGGCACCGCCCTCGCCAAGGTCCTCAGCAAGGACGGCTCGCTCGGCGCGCTCGACACGGGCGGGGGGACGGACCCCATGGCCCTCTGAGATCCCTCACGTAAGGCAGCTGGGCTCCAGCACTGTTTGCATGTTCTTTCAGGGGTTACACTCTCACGATTTGCCGGTTAAATTTCCCTCAGGAGGGCACAATAATTATTTCAATCAGCACGGTAACATTTTTCAAATAGAGATAACCTGACAACATCAACACAACAACATTATCGTCATCAACAACAGCAAAAAACAACAACAAACAACAACAACAACAACAACAACAACAACACCCCTTTTGATCGATAAGTTTACAAACGACGCCGTAGATTGCCCCCTCGGCAGTTCGGCCGTTGTGGACAGTGGGGTCGGCGCCCCTCCACGCCACGCGACGCCACGCCTCGCCGATTGAATCCCTTCACTAATGACTTTGTATCGATCTGTTGCAGGCATTCCCCTCTTGGAGGAGAGCCCGGTGCACCAGCCGCATAGTGTGTTTTCGCTGCAGGAGCACTAAAGCCGTCACGCCACGCCAATCTTCTTCAAGCACGCCAAATTTCTTCGAGCCACACCATTTTCTCTTTCGGCTTCCTTTTTTAACTTTTCTCTCTCTATCGTCTCTGCACGGAGAACTACCCCCACCCCTCCTATTTACTTTCGTGTGACCCCTTCCTCCCCGATCCTTCAAGAATCCCCCGTTTGGTTGGATCTTCAGCCTCCGACGACGACCCAGCGGATTTTTCGCCCTCTTTTCCAAATCAGTCAGAAGAAGACGAAACAAAAAGAAGAAAGATTTGTTTCGAAAGAAACGAGTCAGTAAGTCCCTCTGAAAATTCTCCTCCGCTCTAAAGAAGACAGTGGCATCCTTGAAAAAGTCCGCGCTTGCTTGTCGTCGAGTCCACTCCGACGAGCGCGGAGCGAAGACTAGAAGGCTGGCTGAAGACACGTCGAAGACCGCGAACACACTTAGCTCTCATCCGCCCGTCCCGCGCGAGCCCGCGCCGGCACGGGGAGGGGACTGCGTCCAGAGGCATTGAGCCGCACGCTTCAAAACGAGTTTCCGAAACGAGTTTTTGAAACGCCCTGCGGCGGACACTTTTACACTCAAGTGATATACATTTCGGTTGTTGTTTTTCGTTTTCGTTTCCCTATCGTTTGGGCACGCCTTGGTATTTCCCTCAACGGGAACGCTTATCAATTGTTTCGCGAGTAGAAGCAAAGGCGGCAGTGTAGTCAATTGTTTTTGTTTCGTACCGTTCGGTCGAGGGTACGTCGAGCGCGAATCGATAATAATCCTAGTTGTAATGATAGTGGTACTGTGAATGAGTGGCGAGGCGACAGTGATCGCACACACACGCACGCACGCGCGCGTCTGCTAGGATTCCAACCGCCGTCACCATGGACTCCGACGAGTCCACCATCATCATGGGCGCCGAGGTGGGCCCCGGCGGCCGCTCCAGGGAGGGCTCGCTCATGCTGCTCAACGGGCTGGCGCGGTCGCACAGCGGCACCCTGGGGCTGGGCGGCAGCATGGGCAGCATGGGGCTGGCGGGCAGTCTGACGGGCCCCGCCTTCCGCCAGGCCAGCCAGATGGCCAACCTGGTGGAGCGCGCCAAGTTCTACACCTCGCTCTGCCTGGGCACCACCGCCATCATCTCCGTGTTCGCCTTCCTCTTCCTCATCCCCTTCGTCGTGGACCCCGCCATCTCCAGCATCCTGGCCAACTACGAGCGCGACGCCGTCACCTGCGTAGCCACGGACCACGTGTACACCGAGGGGCTGACCAACTGCTCGTGGGCCTCGTGCCGCGAGGGCTGCACCACGGCCGCGCCGCGCTGCCACCAGATCCGGGTCAACTACTCCCACATCCCGTACCACCAGTGGGCGCTCACGCAGGTGGGTACAGTCAGTGTGGTCAGTCCGTCGGGCACCGTGCCCTCTGTGGGCCAAAAGACCGGTGCAGGCGGCCAAAATTCTAGACGCGTTTTGAGCTCCAGAGTCACTTAATAGGACTCGAACCAGACGTGTGACCCCACCAATGGATTCCTCGTTCGGAGAGCAATCCATTGGTGGGGTCATACGCTCGGTTCGAGTCCCATTTAGCGACTCTGGAGCTAAAAAGGTGTCTCTGATTTCGGCCACCTCCACCGGTCTTCTGGCCCACTGTGCGTCTACTCACGGCCGTTGTTCGTCCGCAGGACCGCGCGGCGCTGCAGTGGGCCGTCACGGAGACGCGCTTCCTCATCAACACGGAGGGCTGCGGCTACCCGCCGCGCGTCAACTGCTCCGAGTTCGCCAAGCAGTACGGCTACTCGCGGCTCGGCATCCCCTTCCCCTGCTACTACTCGCGGGCCTACCCGCAGATGGTGGTGGCGCGCTACTCGTGGGAGGACACGCTGCGTCACCTGCTGCTGTCCCTCATCGTGCCCAACGTGCTGTTCGGGGTGTCCGTCGGCGTGCTGTGCTACTGGTACTGCCCCGGCTGCCAGAAGCCCTGCGCCACGGACACCGTCTCCTACGTCGAGAAGTTCTCCACCAAGGACGAGTAAGACTGCATTTACGACACTGTCAAAAGGTTCATTCAAAACGACAAAACTGTGAGAGTTTATGTTGACTGTTGGGCACTTTCTGAGTGGAAACTACACGACGTCAGAATGAATTAATCTTGTTGACAGTGTAACAACTGGCGTTTTTGTCCGCCAACTACTGCTTCCGGATCTCTAACTGTGTTTTTGTTCCGCTTGCCCTCAGTGACGAGGACAACGACGAGGAGTACGACGAGGAGGAGGAGTACTGACGACTCCTGGGGGGCGACGGCCTGCACGGCCCGGACGGCCCGGACGGCCACGACGGCCTCGACGGGTTGCCGTCGGTCCGCTCCGACTCCCCGCCGCCACGCCCCAGCGTCAACCGGCGGCGCCAGGAGCCCCGAGAACCCCCCGCGGCCCCCAGGCCCCCCGCGGCCCGCCCTCGCGCGCAGTGCTAGACACGCCGCCCCGCAGGGGCATGCCGGTGTTGGTAGGACGGAACCCGCGGTTCGCGTCGCTTCGTGTGCGGCCCGCGGTTCCTTCCACCGGACCGCTTAGTGCCAACCCTGGGGCACCAACAAGGTGCCCCACTGGGAGGTTCGTAGATAATTTGATCATTTCGCGGTTTCACTAGCGGTTTCCCTTTAAATCATTCCTTTTTCACAATTCGTAATTTTTGAAACTTGGACAACGTAGGTAGTTTCAGTGCGGCCGGCACAGGGTACGGTAGACAGCCCGTAGGAAAGGTGCGAACCACGCTAGGCCGTGGACTTTACAGATGCCAAAGTAATTTTAGGCGGCGACTTTTCGAATCGACTTCTAACACTAGGCCAGCTATGCACGGCTGACTCGGCTACCGTTCTCTAGCTAGCGAGTCGTCTGAATAGACTCGCCATTTCGTATCTTTGTGGTTGTTTTTTTTTTCTGAAACTAGTTTTAATAGCGAAAGTCATTTCACCTCGATCGACTCGTAGGGACTGGGAACCGAAATTGGTTGGGTGCCAAAGAGGGGGTTAAATGGCCGGGACAAAAGCAAGATGAGAATGTTTGCTCTGGTTGAAGCGGCGAGGTAGGGAACTGGGCTCTCGCGCGACGTGTGGACCCTGGTGGACCCTGGTGGACCCTGGTGGACCCTGGTGGCGTGGCGACCGGAGGATGGAGGACGGTGGACGGACGACGGTGGGCGCCCCCCACCCCTCCTCAGCCGGCGCCCCGGAAAAGGAAGCGCAGCCCGAATCCAAAGACGGCGGTGGAAATGGACGAAGCGGACCATCAACAACTATCAAGACTCGTGTACATATGTATGTTAAGAAAGAGGTGTTCGTGTGTATATGTGTGTGTGTGAGTGTGGCTGTGTGTTGTGTGAGTGCATGTGTGTGATCCAACAGGACCAACAAGCAAAACTGTCAGCGCCCAATCTCTGCGAGACAGGAGGCGACCAGTAGCTGTGCTTCCCTTGGGAGCACGGCAGTTGTTTGCCTCTTGCGTCGGCAGGTTGACTCTACCACAGCGCAATAACTTATCATGTGTTCATATAGTGGGGGAAAAGTTGGGTTGATATTCAGGGTGGGTAACTGCCCTTATGTGCCTTCCATTATATTAATGAGCCAGCCGTTACAGGTAGTTCCTAACGCTAAGCCATGTCTGTGCGTAGTTCCTTTCGGAAACAATGGCATGGAACGCCCCTGCACCGAGAAAGTTAAACATTTCTATCACGCAGATTATCACGTTCCTGGTTAAAATGATTTTGATACAATTTTTCCGTCGTCCCAGAAAAAATAATTTAGCATTGGAGTTGTGTATTTGTGCTTTTGTTCAGCTCAACTACTGTGATACGCTTTTTATATTACACAATAATATTTAAAGACGGTCAGGAAGAAATTGCGCATCCTGCTCAACTCGGGATGACTGGTTTATGTGGATGCAATAATTTAATTCTTCACTACCTTCCTCCTGAGTGAGAACACATCCCCCTACCTTGTGGAGGAGAATAAAGTTATTGTGTAAAGGCATGCTTATAAGTTAAGTTGATATGATATTATTTGATCATAAACAATTTGTGTGCTTATAAAGAAAGCTTTGCTTTCAGTCATAAGCGTCATCGAGACTGGATGTGATTTTGTAATTTATAAGGCAAGATGGGAACTTAAGAATGAACATGATACGAGCTTCTACACTGCGTTTCAGAGCGAGCTTTGGATCAAAAATTGTTAAAAAGCCATTTTACCTACTAGATCTTTCTGGTAATGTTAACTAGTAATTGTAGCGTTTTATCCTCGTTTTGTAAAGTTCCCACCTGGAATATAAGCCATAGAACAGGGATTAAAACTGCCAACACTTATTCTGTTCAGTCCGACTTTGCGACGCATTTATAGTTTCGACTTCTTACACTCATGCTATGTAGCAGTACCATTTAAAATGGGCGTAGGGACAGTACGCAGTTAGATCCGAAACATTTTTCTTCTTTAACACTCTGAGTACTTGCTTGTCCACAGTCTTTGATTAGTGTACAATTCCTTATACTACAGCTTTTGGTTACTCTTAATGTTCCTGTCACATTACTGTGAGATATTAAATTGTCACCCTCAGCCTAGCGTAAGAATAAAGTGAAAGCGTTGAGCTCAATGATTTTGAAAACTCTTTACTTAGATCATATTTGTTTGAGCGGAAATTACGCGTTGGATATTGTTATCGATAGTTTCATCACCTGTTCGACGCTTACACCAAAGTATGTTCGGTTGATTGTCATTTTTCATGTTTTTTCAGCCTACTCTTTAGATTGAAAGAGAACGGTTTGGTACAATAAAATGTATATTTGCAGTTCGTACGACATTCCGTTTCATTTCTGCTCCCGGGGCCATGTCACAGACAAGCGCGCCGTCGCTACCCCTTGCGGACAAGCAGGGAAGCCCCGACGAGGCGGCACTACTCCGCGCCACCGCGACGCGGAGTATCTCCGGGCGCTAGCGCCACCCTGCTTGGGGCATCCCTGCGGCCCAAGCGGCACTACCCCTCCAGCGGAGAGACTCCGGCCCGGCCTGGGCGTTCCCCCGGGGCTTTCTGCCGCGCTGCACCGATGCACGGCGCGGCGGCGGCGTTCGGACGCGATACAAAGTTGCGCGGCCGCCGAGCGCTTCCAGCAACACGGCGGCGCGAAGGCCCGAAGGGGGTCCCTCCAAGAGTACGGAGAAACGGCAGGCATTACGGGCATGCATAAACATGAGCCTCACTTTCGTCAACGGCCTGCCACCCACCCGGCCGCCGCGGAGTCGCGGACACACCCCCTGCCTGCCCCCGTGCCGCCGCCCGCCCTCCAGCGCCGCGCCGCCTCGCCTCGCCGCCGCCCTCCTCAGTCGGCACGCAACAGAGTGCCGGTGAGGGCGGCCGAGAGGGCACCGGGAGGGACGAGGGAGTCGAGGGGGAGGGGCAGCGCGGCGGCAGCGACGCGTACTAGCGGAGTCCGCGTCCACGCCGGGCGGCACGAGCACGGCGAAGACGCGGAGCGGCGGAGCAGCGACCTCAGGCACTACAGCGGACTACACGGACGCGGGGACACCGTAGGAGCGCCGCGGTGACATCGTCGCGGGGAAGACCGCGGGAACGCTGGCGACGTCGCGGTGACGCAACGGTGAGTGAGTCACGGATTCCGAAAAGCACAAGTTCTTTCCGTCGCCCCCTCTCGGGGATGGAAGATGGAGGTTGTCGCTAGCAGTGGAGCGCTTGGTAATTGCCCCCCCCCCCCCCTTTGGAAAGCATGCTCGCGCCCCCGGGCGTTCGGCATTTTCTGGGGAGCAAATTAGACACCTGCGACGCGGAATTCGGGTTCCGGGGAGTGGCCCGAGGGCGCGCGAGCGTCAGCGCGACAGCGTCAGCGCGGAAACGAACCGGCAGTAACCCTTTCGCCGCCAGCGCTGAAAACGGGGAACGAGAACGAGGTCTCCGCGGTCCGTCCAATCGGCTGCCGCCCCATTTCGGACTGTACTTTCGTCTTTACGTCTCTCTCGCACTCGCGGGGCGGCCCGTGCGGGTGCGAGAGAGACAGTGGAAGTGACCGGGCCGGACGGCGGCCACACGCCAAGGTCCCCGACGACACGGAGGGCAGCGGGGCTCAAGGGCAGTGTCCACTGAAAAGCGGATTGATTGGAAAAGCCATTGATTCTCTCAACTGTGTCCAATGCAAAGGCCAGCCCGATGGGGGAAAAACAGGCGCACTCACACAGCAGCGTGCGCGTTGCCCAGGTTCGCCCAGGTTGGTGGCCGATGCCGCAATCGTTGCGAGCGGGAAATGTCATGTGTCTCCGCTGAGGCCCCTCCCACACGTCAGTCCGCGTCAGGCCTAGACCAGGCAACGGGCGCAGGCGGACACACACAGACACGCCAACCGCACACGCACGCACGCACACGTGGACTCGGAATCGGATTATTTCCCATGACAATGCGTCGCCCCCGTCAAGCCCAGGCGGCCCGGGCATCGGTTCGGTAATGGTGGTGTGGTGTCATTAGCAGTGTGTCCTCGCCGGCGAATCGTACATATGTAATGTGGCGACCAGACCGCAGTGGCCGCGCTCGGACGAGCCGAACCGAACCAGACCGCAGCAGGGCGTGGGCGGCCCGAAGGCCCGAAGCGCCTGCGGTCGCCAGGGATGGGCAAGCCACCACACTTGGCGGCAGGCCTGTCTCACTCACACCTGCACGGGGGCCAGATGGACAGTGCTCGGAATCAGCCGACCACAGAGTGCGTGTGTGTGTGTGTCTGTTAGCATCATGCAAATTGATGGTAAAATGTGCATCCCCCGGGGGTTCGACGTCCGCGTGATGTCCGCGGCACTGCGGCGGTCCGGGAGCAGCGCGGTGCTGCGCGACGCTGCGGTCCAAACACCGGTTCGGGCCGGTTTCGGCGAGAGCCCTGCCGCCTTGCCCCGCCCCTGGCGGCCCCTGGTGCCCCGGCATGGCCTCCCCCACCCACGCCGTCAGTGACCCCGCCACCTCGTTTGGCATGGATCCAGCCGAGAACGGAGAGATAAGCCTGGCAACTGCAGCGGCTGTGTTTGTGCGAGGGAGATAGAGGACAGCAAGAGAAACAAAGGAGGGAATGAGAGGACCGGGCAGGTGGGAGGAGGAGGACTACACACGCGCACGACACACACACACACACACACACATCACTCACACAGTCGCACAGGGGTGAGGGCGCTTCACGGCCCAACGCGCCGCGGAAAGAAGAGGAACTTTGCCACTCGGCTCGCCGCTCTCGCCGCTCGCTCTGCCCCGCCGCGCCCCAGCGGCCGGTAACGGCCGAATAACGTGTGTTTGCTTGGCCCGATGGGACATTGGGGCGGGCCGGGTCATCGGGGGTCGTCCCGGACGAGGCGGTCGATGGGCATCTGGCGGCGCTCTGCCACCGCGACATGAAAGGCCTCATTGACTCACAGGGACCGCGCGACGCGGCGCGACGTCACCGAGTCATGAATGGACAAAGCGAAACAGGACGTCCGAGCAGCATCCTACTTACTCCGCCGCGACCCTCGGCCGCCCTCGGCCTCGGCCTGGCTTGGGGAAACATTCCGTCTGAAACCACGCCCCGCGACGCCCCGCGACGCCCCGCGACGCCCCGCGAAGGGGAGGGGGAGCTCTCCAGAAAGCATTCCGCGACGTGGGTCCGCCAACCAGAAAAAAAGAAGGGAGGGGGAGGTCTGAGGGCGAGAGCGAGATGGGATTTGGAGCGAGGAATGCGTACTGCCGTGGTAACGACCCGAGCACCCCATCCAAGACTTTCAACATGGCCCGGCCCGGGCCGCCCCCAGCAGTGCGCGCGGTACGCCCGGCCCAACAGGTCCTTCGAGGTCCTTCGAGGTCCTTGGCCGTACTTTGGTGGTACAAGGCTCCAGCTTGAGGCGCTGTCGGTCCGTCGGTCGCTCTCCTCGTCAGGAAGGGTCTGTTTATTTTACCGGACGTGCTGCAGCGGAATTGGTTCTCGGCGTCCTGGCTGATTGGCAGGCACTGCCGGGGCACTGTCGGGGCACTGCCGCCAGAGAAATGAGTTCCAGGCGCCGTCCGGTCGGCGGAGAGGGACTAGAAAAATGAGGCTCGACCCTCCGCCACCAAGATGAGAAATTTCTGGAATAAGGCAGAAAGAAAGTTTTCCGCAGAAACGGCGCGGGATTCGAACCCCAGTCCCCAGGGTTGACGACGCCATGGCGCGCCATAAGCATGGCACTCGCGTCGCTCGCACCTGGAAGCAATATCGGCACGCTGCCGCTGGAAGGGGTGGCCCGAACGAGAACCCGACCCGGCGGGGACCGGCAGAGACCGGCAGGGACCGGCAGGGGCACCCTAGGACACCCGAGACGGCGGCGGGGCGCGGCGCAGCGTCCCAACGGCTACACCTCCCCGGCGCCAGTGAGCGGGGAAGCGGATACGCCTGTAGTCCGATTCCGAACTGTGCTTCGTCGCTCGCTCTCGCACCCCGTACGGGACGCCCCACGAGTGCGAGAGAGACAGAGCGACCACGGCTCGGAACCAGCCTGCAGGCGAGCGCCTGGCAAATCGGAGGGTGAGCGAATATTGGGATAATGGCGAAGCTAGGTTCCCCCTCCCCTCCCCTCCCCTCCCTGCCGTCTGTCCAGTTGAACGAAGCCCGACGCGCTGCTGAGCCCCAATCAGGCCGGCCTGGCCGACCCGCACCCAAGGCCGCCGCCAGAAGCCAGACGCTCGTAGACTGCAGACTGATTCCGAGAGTCGTTTTCGTCTTTCGCCGCTCTGGCCGTGCCTCTCATAGCGCCTGTGGACGCACGGGTAGGCAACACAGCGGCACGGCATGCGCGCGGGTTGCCTACGCTCGACTCGGCGGGCGCTCCACGCCGTGCGGCTCCACGCCCACCGACCTCAAGCTCTCTCGCCCGCCTCAAGCCGCACCTCCCCCTCCCCTCCGCCCCCTCTGGCCTCCACTACTTGCGGAGTGGCACTGTGGGCGCACCACTTGCCTGATAGCGCGGGGAGTGCGTATTGGGGGAGGGGGAGGGAGGGGGGTAAGCAGACAACGACGGCGCAATGGGTGCGATATAGCCATCAGAGTGGAGGCAAAATGGGGCGGCCACAGACGGATGGGGTGGGAGGGGGGAGGGGGGCGATGGGCAAAGGGGGCGGAGGGGGCGGAGGTAAACAGAGCGAGGGGGCCGTTCGGTGTTCGTACCCCCGCTGCGGGCCCTGCCCGTGCAGGGCCAGCCTTGCAGGCCCTGCTGCAGACTGCTTCCGAAGGGGAGGTCTCGTCGGTCTGTCTCTCTCACACCTATACGGGACGCCCCATGAGAGCGAGAGAGAGAGAGAGACCTTCCCCTCGGAATCATCCTGCAGGGTGAGTTGACGTGAATGCAGCCCTGCGATCTTTGTCGGGACTGTACCCAGGCCCGGCGTGCTGACTTGTGCTCCCAGTTCATGGCGCGCACTTCATGGCCCATAGCTCATGGTACTCCCCCACCCCCTCCCAGTGCCATTCAGGGGTACTTCCACGACTGCCGGCGCGAACAATGCCCTCGCCGCGGCGGCCCTCGCCAGAGAGAGAGAGAGAGAGAGACCCACCCCGCATGTAAACAACAGAAACGGGAAACGGGCGGTTGTTTTGGCGCGCAGTTGCCCGGCGCACCCGCACCACGTTTCTCTTCGTAGTGCCCTCCCCCCTCTTTTTTTGCAGAGTCTCAGAATGAGTCGGCAAAAAGCGAGCGCTTTATTTATCGCCTGTCCTTTCCGCCCGTCAGCGCCAGTGTCAGTGACAGTGTCAGCGACGCGACCGAGAATGCCGGGCCATGGCGTGCAAAGCAAGGCAAGCCACCGATCGTGATCTCGGCCGAAAGGAGCCGAAGGGAGGCGGCGGCGCGGATTTAAGCGCCACTCCGCCAAGAATCAGAGGACGGCCCGCCCCCTGGCCGCACCGCCACTGCCGCCACCCCCTCGCGCTGCCGCCCCCGCGCCCCCGCGCCCCCGGTCGCGCCGCCCCCCGCAGCGTCAGAACTGGTGTGCACTGGAACTGGTTGGCCGCGCGGGCCCGGCACGTTAATAATTGAGAGGGAAGGGGGCTACAGAAACACGTCTCCCTCCCTCCGTCTCTCTCTCTCTGGCCCTTGTCTCGGCCGCCGCTGCCGCCGCTCCGCTGCGCCTTGTTTTTCTTGCGTTACGAGTAACATCCCAATCCGTTGGAGCCGGCCGGGCAGTGCGTGGCCATGGCTTGGCAGTGCTACACTATGCGGGACCGCCACGCTAACTGGGGAGTGCTCCGAAATTCGAAATCCGCCGCCCTTTCCCGGTCGCGACGGCAAGGACGCGCGTGAGAGCCGCTTTTATTCATGACTGACTCGTGCTTCTCTCTCGGCAGGACCGCCGTCGCCGACAGACCGACATGACCGTCCCGGGCCCCGGCGGCCCCGGGTAGGCGGTACCACCAGCACCACGACGGCCACGACCGCCACCACAGCAACAACAGCCGGGCGGAAGTCCGCGGCCGCCGACTCCGGCGCTACTTCCGGCGCCAACGCGCACTAACGCGAGCAGCGCGGCCGGCGGGCCCCGCCCCAGGCCGAGATGGGGCGTCGCGAGAAGCCGCGCACGCTGATGGAGCAGAACCGGCACCTCTGCGGCTCCATCTGCCTGTGCCAGCTGACGGTGGTGCTGAGCTGCGTGTCGCTCATCTACCTGTCCGTGGCCATCTACATGCCCTCGCACCGCGCCTTCCACTCGGGCTTCGACCCGCTGCCCGTCATGTGCCAGACGCACCGCACCAGCGACGTCAACAACTGCAACTGGGCGTCGTGCGGCGAGTGGTGCCTCACCAAGACCACGGGCTTCTGCCCGCAGATGCACGTCACGGTGCGTCAGAACGGCACCGACATCGTGCTCAACAACTGCACCAGCCTCAGCAGCGTGTCCTGCCCGCCGGTGAGTCGGGTGCACCTGTGGAGCCGGCCTCGGCCCGGACCGGCCGAAGGTTTCACTTTTCCACCCTCTTTCTGTCCCATTTTCATTTTCTAACTGTGTTTTTGGCAGTAAGCACACACTTTAAGGCGGGAATAATAAGTCAAACAAGGGGCCTGGGGCCTTGGGAGAAAGGGGGGGGGGCGGCATTAGCCTCCCGACGAAGCCACTCCAACTTCTGAGCCGTGCATAACATTTGCCGGCCCTCCCCTGTCTTTTGGCGTTCCTTGAACTCGCCTCTTCCGGTGGGACGGCGCGGTGAGAGGGAGAGGGGAGGTCGGAAAGGCAGCAGCAGCAGCAGCGGCCAAACTAGAGAAAACTGGATGGCGCGGCGCAGAAAAGGGGGCTAAAGGAACAGGCAGCGCGGATTTGCGGGAAGGGGAGGGGAGGGGGGGCAGCCCCGGGGGCATTACGATTCTGGACGCAAAGCGGTCCGAGAGATCCGCTCGGCGTCCGCCACGCCCGGCCGGCCGGCCTCGCCCAGACATATTGCCTTGCCCGGCCGAGGCGCCGAGGGGCCGAGGCCGCGCGGCACGTGAGGGGCAGAGGCCGCGCCTCGCCTTGCGGTCTTGCGGTAGGCCCTCCACGCAGAGGCCGCGCGCCGCGCGAACGTTTTCCGCACTGTTTCCGGCGCGAGTCAGCGCGACGCCGACGGCCTCGCCGACGGCCTCGCCGCCCCGCGGCAGCCAGGAAATGGAAATGAAACGACGTGGCCACCGCGGCGACGGCCTCGACGGGATAACCTGTTGATGGCGGCGTTCTGGGGGACGGGGCGGGGTCGGGGGTTGGGGTCGACGCCGCCGGCGTACCCGTTGCTGTCATTGCCTGGCGGGGCCGCGGCCGCGCCGTCCTCGCAGTGCAGGGCGTTACTTCCCGCCGGATGCTGGAGATGCACCGCGCCGCCCCCGAGGCCCCCGCGATGGCGATGTAAGCGCGCGTCCGTGGCGGGGGCGGCGGGGGCCGCGAGGGGGTGGCTCGGGGGCGGCGTCGCCCTTCCCGGCGGTGCGGGGGGTGCCCCTCGAGATCAATAGGTGGAGGGGGGCGGGGGAAGCGCACCGAGGGCAACAGTGACCCCCCTCACCCCCCTCGCCCCCAGGCCCTTGCCTCCGAACCCTCCGAACACACCGAGTACACGACAACACGACAAGAGGATAGTACGCACTGAACACACAGCCGGCCTGCCGGCCTGGCGGCCGGGTGCACTGCCCGCCGAGTATATCGGCGGTGCTTTCCATTCGGCCGTGCATGTGCCAGTCTATTCGCGGTTCACCGCATCGTTCAATTAATATTTGATTCGCGCCTTCACACAAAAGCGCGCAGTCCGTCAGCGTGTGGATCAATTTGTGTTCGCCGCTCGGCATTTTCCCGCCATTTCCGCTCTCTGCTATAAAGAGTGCGAGCCATTATCTTTTTATGCTGCACCTCAATGGTTCCTTTTTTTGTCGTTTGTTTTTGCTTTTGTTTCTCGTAGCTGGCCCGCTGGCCGAGTCAAAAAGCAGCGGCAGAGTGGGTGGCAACATGTCGATAGCAGAGAGGCAAATGAAAATGAACAGCGTAAAACGACCGCTTTCCCCGCCTCTTTTTTTTTCTCCGCAGCGGAGGGGTTTTATTGTCAGAGTGAATTTCACAGAGAACTCCACAGAGCGAAATAATTCAAACGCAAAATGTTTCCAACCCTACCCGCCTGACAATATGTGCGTGTCCGATGGGACTGCGCCGCAAGGGCGTAAGGGTGTGAGATTGTAAGGGCCTGCAGGCGAGGGAGTCGAAATTATTCGTCGCATATGTTTCTACTCTTATGTAACAATCCCTACAGGAGCACCAGGACAGTATCTGCTGTATTACCTTTAGCCATTTTTTTCTCCACGTGACATCGGCCATATGGGATGCGCCCCTAGCCTGCAGGCTGAGAGTCGTTTTCGTCGCTCTGTCTCTCTCGCACTCATGGGGCGTCCCGTTTAGGTGCGAGAGGGACAGTCTGCTGTACCAGCCACACTGACATGGCATTACCCGTCCAGGCGGACCCCACCTCGGTCAAGCGGTACAACTGCAACCAGGGCTCCGAGTGCGACGACCTGCACGGCGTGTTCAACTGCTCGCTGGGCCACTGCGGCAACTACTCGGAGCGCTTCCTGTGCCACTACAAGGCCGACGGCGTGGTGCTCAACACGGAGAAGGACAACATGAAGCTCAACGGCTTCTTCGAGTGCAACAAGTCCATCTGCACCAAGATCAAGCGTCCGTTCAGGTAGGAGCGAAAGAGTGTGGTGGACCACGCACAGTGGGCCAGAAGACCGGTGGAGGCGGCCAAAACTCTAGACGCGTTTTGAGCTCCAGAGTCGCCAATGGGACCCGAATCTAACGTGTGACCCCACCAAACGCGTGTTGAGTTTTGGCCGCATCCACCGGTCTTCTGGCTCACTGTGGGTCGATGGGAACCGACGCTGACACTGGTTTTTCCAGCTGCGACCGGTACTGCAACAAGATCACCACCACGTCCATGAACGTGTTCCTCATGTACGAGGACAACCTGTTCACGGGCGAGTGCCGCGAGGCGTTCGCGCTGAACCGCGCGCGGGGCAACGAGCCCGGCACCCCCGTCAACGCCACCGAGATCTGGCACGAGGACAAGAGCGGCGGCGCGCTGCTCGCGTCCTGCCTCAGCGTCGTCAAGGTCGGCAACAACTCGCTCAGGTGGGTACACTCTGAGAGTCGTTTCCGTCGCTCCGTCTCGTACTCATGGGGCGTCACACAGTGGGCCAGAAGCCGGTGGAGGCGGCCAAAACTCTAAACGCGTTTTGAGCTCCAGAGTCGCTAAATGGGACTCGAACCGAACGTGCGAGCTCAAAACGCGTCTAGAGTTTTGTCCGCCTCCACCGGTCTTCTGGCCCACTGTGCGAGGCCGCCGCCCGCGTTTCCGGAGAGTCGTTGCCGCGTCGCTCGGTCTCTCTCGCGCCCCCGAGTCCGCTGGCGGGGACCAGACCCGCATTCGGACGCAATATTGAAAGACAACAACAGTAAAACGTCGGTCGTGTCAGCGTCCTCGTCCTCGTCGCCAATTCCTCGCCGTCCCCGCTTCGGCTCGTTCCGCCCCGCTTCGTGGCTTCGCGCTCCGGTTCGGGGAATTGCGGTGTAGGGTGCATACGCCGCACGTCACTTAGCATGTCTGGACGGACGCACGCGGCACGCGACCGGGGCCGTCCGTAAATTACGTCACGCCCCATCGACGAGGCCACGCCTTGTTCGAGCGCCCCCTGCCTGCAGGACGGGCCCCGCTGGGGCGCTCCGGGGAGGGGGGGGGGGTAGCTGGATTCACCCCCGCGTTTGTCGTGCCAACTGAGCACGACCGGCTCCGCGACCCGCACGACGCCGTGCTGACGGACACGCCGCGCCATGTCGCTGACCCTCCACCGGTCTTCTGGCCCACTGTGCGTCGTGGCGGTGTCCGCGCCCTGTCCGGTCTCTGCTCGAGGCGCGTGGCCGCGCACCGGGTGTGCCTCACCTGGCTCCACCCACTGCACGGTGTGCGGCCTGCCGAGCCTGCCGGGCCTGCCGGGCGTGCGGAACTCCAGAGTTATGGCGGTCATTACCTGGAAGCAAGCGGAGAGCTTCGTTAGTCACATCGCAAACGAGGGCGGCGCTGGCGGCGCTGGCAGGGCGATGCGGTAATGATGACAAAGGCTGCCGCGCTGCGCCGCTTTGCCTTTTGTGTTGCCTACCTGCCCGGGGCGCCGGGCCAACAAGGCCAACACCACGCAGGTAGGCAACACAATCAGCACGAGCGAGGAGGACGGCCGGCCCAGGCTGATGCTGATTCCGTTTCTTGTTTTGCTTTTTTCACGCGCCGCCGCGTGGCTGGGAAAGTTTTCACTTCCAGGAAGACTCCGGGAAGTTTGGCGCTCCGCGTCCCACGACTCAAACTCCCACATCCCTTTGAATCCGCGCCCGATGAAGCGCGTCAGCGAAACAAAAACTCAAATAGGGTGGCTGCGCGCCGCGGTGCCGCGCCACGCGAGGTTGGGGGCGACGAGGAGGAGGACGACGAGGAGGAGGACGACGAGGAGGAAGACGACGAGGAGGAGGACGACGAGGAGGACGCCCCGCGGCCAGCTGTCAGCGCAACGTGCACCTCCGGGAGTTGCCTATTCTCTTTACGTGCCGCGCTGCTCCAGCCCCCTAGCCTCCAGCCGCCGCTATCCGATTCAAAATTGCAACGCGCGAGTCGGCGGACCGCGTGGACAAGAAGGCCCTGCGGCAGAACGGCGTGCGGAGGCGATGCTGTCGTTCAGCCAAAGGAAAGGGGCTGCGAACGTGTCAAACGCGATGAGAAGGGCGGTGTTGCCTTTGAAGCCGGCGGCTGTCTATCATTTGCTCTCTCTGCGCGTCCAGGGCCACGGACTGCCTCAACGGCACCGTGCTGGAGGAGAGCCTCATCCCGCAGCCCTACATCAACTTCACCACGTTCTGGACGCTGTACGGCAACTCGAGCAGGCCGCTGGACCCGCAGGGCCACTTCCTACCGCCGCAGCAGAGCCTCACCATCTACAACTCCAGCAGGCTGTACATCAACCTGGAGGGCTGCGTCAACACGCTGCGCGGCGAGTGCCACGACTTCCGGGCCACCCACGGCCGCGACGGCGTCAACCAGACCGCGCAGAGCCGCTTCCCGTGCTACTACAACCACGTGAGTGCCGGCGGCGTGTCCCACAGTGGGCCAGAAGACCGGCGCAGGCGGCCAAACCCTCCTCTCCTTTAATTTTTCTTTTTTAAAAATCCTGCTTCCAAACTTTGTGTTTTGTGCTCAGGACGACAGCTTCATGGCGGTGGCGCGCTTCGACCTGGGCAAGACCCTCCGCGACCTGCTCATCGCCACGGTCGTGCCCTCCGTGCTGTTCGTGGTGTCGTTCGTCACCCTGGTGTGCATCACCAAGTACGTCCGCGTGCGCGACGACGGCAAGATGAAGTGCACGCTGTGCCGGTGCTGCGGCGACAGCGGCGCCGGCGGTGGCGTGGTGGTTGACGACGACGAACCGGGCCCGGAGAGCTTGCTCATGAACTCGTGAGTCTCGAGTGACAAGTGACAAGTGTGTGACTGGCGCGGGTTCAAGTCCCCACAGGAGCGAGGTTTGTTTGCGCCTCCCTTTTCTTCTCTGGTGTTTAGATTATTCGTCTCTATCTGCGTGTTTGTAGCCGAGCCAGCCAAGCTGGCTGTTGTAGCTGACGACCGCCTGAGGTGGGCCTGGGCAGGCCTTGGCCACCCTCAGCGCCTTGTTCGATAGTTTGATTAAATTATGGGAGTCGTGAGACTACGACGGGCTGCCAGTTTCGTTCTCTTTTGTCTGGATTAGTCGGATCGGCAAACCGACGAGTAGGGAAGCCCCGTATGAATGTGGAGAGTAGCTGGAATAAGACCTAGGGGACCTAGAGGACCTAGAGGACCTGGCTGGGGCAGTCCAAATGTCCCCTGCTTTGGCCTGGCTGCCTGGCCCTAAACTGTGGCTGAGAACATGCCCTCACTGTCCCTAATGCTGCAGGGGAAAGCGGAGATCCACCCAGCGACGAGAGACGCCAGCAGGCCTCGACGGCGTCCTCGACGGCGGCCTCAGCCCCGGTGTGGAGAGCCCTATCATCATCCCCCTCCGCCTGTCGGTGTCGGCCCCGGCCTCGGCCCACACCTCGGCCCCCACCTCGGCCAGCTCTGTGAGGCGGGCCCACGAGGCGGCCGCGTCACTGTCCGCCAAGGCCTCCGCCAAGGCAGACGACGCCAAGCTCGGCTACGGCCTCGGCCCCGAGCTCCTCGTCGACGCCTCCGAGCTGGCCCGCGCCAAGGCGGCCGAGGCCGGCGAGGACTACAACCCGTCGCTGGTCGACAGTGTGGTCGACACGCAGGCCGTGTAGGGTGCGAGGTCGAGCCTGACGTACGGCCTCGTCTGTCGATCATATCAAAATTGGCATGCATACGAAGTTCTACGAAGGGCCATTGTCTCATGTTTTATGCAGCGAGGCCGGGAGTCCCAGGGGCCAGTCCAGTCCCAGGAACCGCGCTGGCCTGGCGCTGGCCTGGCGGTGGCCGCAGTGAAGTGCTGGCGGGGCACAACTGCCGCGGCCGCACTGGCCCACTGTGCAGCGCCATCTCGCGGGGAGCGGTGCAACTTGCAGCCTGGGCCTTCCCCGCACTGCCGCTTTGACCGCTTTGGAGGGTGACAAGGTGCCAATGCACCAACGCCGTGTCGCAAAGACCGCCGTGCACAGCTGGTCCGAAAGGTGCTTCTAAAACCCTCGCAAATTCCTTTAACTCATTCTTATCGCTTTGTCCCCAAGACTTCCACCGTCCCCGGGCGCGCTTTCCGGTCAAGACTCGGCGCTACTTTCTTTTTGGAGGGCCATTAATTTTTTTCTTTGGAAACTTTGGTCACAGATGACTTAGATACAGATTCAAACGCCCCACCTGATGGAGGTGTTCCTCACAGTAAAGATACCAAATCGATAGATCGATGACACTGGACAGGATTTGTGGTCATTTGGGTAAATAGACTGAATGTGAGTGCAGCAGTATTTTCACCGCAAAAGTGCCACTGAATTAGGTTATTTAATTTACTCTCATTTACGTGTTCGGACTCCTATAAAACTGGAAAATCCGTCACAAAGGCTGCAGTTTTACCAAATTCTACGGGGCCATCGAGCTTCTAGCTTGCGTAACTTCAGAGACTGATAGGTTGTTTGAAACCTGTTTTCCTTTCCATCGGGGGGATGGCACCTTTCCCGATTCTGACTCAAATTTTACTGACAGGTCTGATTGCAATGGTCCACACTTTCATGTATACTAACTTTCTAAAAAAATGTTTGCTGCTCACTTTTCTCCTACAGGCAAAAATGTGCTTAGAAATGATCAAGTACTGGGTGCTGAATACCACTATGTACCATGTGCCATGATGTGATGTTTTGCAATACTTCATTATGTTATCCTTGGAAGTGGATTCATCTTTTTTATTGTGAGTGAAATAAAAATAATAAGAGAAAAAATAGTTACCTATTATTGTTACTGTTGGAAAGGATGAGGTAATGAAAGAAATAGTTCAGAATTGTTGGCAAACATGATCTTTAATCTAATGCTACTTGCTATATAATCTATGTCTGATCCTGTAAATTTGTAATTATTGACAAAATATACCATTTTGTTTTCCTTCATTTCATTTTCAGCAAAAGTTTACTATTTTTATTTTCCATTTCCAGGTAAACACTAACTACATGCTTTTAATACAAAGTTACACAACAGTGGGGAGCAACAGAATTACACAAAAATAAATGTGCTTTAAAAAAAGATACAGGTACCTACACTAAGCTACAGTATCAAAATATTATCACAGCAATCAATAAGCTTAAAAGTCCAATATCACTTGTGTATATTAAAGATGCTGTACTGAGATTCATTGATGAAGCTTGTAATATTTGATAAAGCAGAGCTACTATCAATTGATCTCATAGTTGAACCATCACTTACACTGGATGAACTTAACATTCTATGAACGAAGTCTGAGCTATCAGCTTCATTCCTATCTTCATCCAATGGTAATGAAGGAGCTACATTATTTGGTTCTACTTTGCAGAATCCAGAGTCTACACTTGAAACATTTCCTGCTTCTACATGGTTTGAAGAGCTGCTTGATTCTTGTCCTACCTTTATTTCCTCTTGTTTGCGATAGGCATGCAGCATCCACTCCTTTTGCTGGGCCTCAGTCATCACAGGTTCACGTCCAGGAGCACCTTGACCGATTTTCTGCAGTTTAACAACACCACGAGTCTTGTCATTGCGTCCAAAGTAGTCGCTTAGTTTTTTTGTTCTCAGCATTTCCTTTCCACAAAACCATAGACAAGCCATGGAAGGCTCAATCACCTGAAAACAGTAAGAAACCATGAGTTTAACACAAAACAAAACAGACTGTCATAGCTGCATTGTACAACAGGTAATTATTGAGAAAAATGGAGTACCTCAAGTGAAGCTTGAGTTCCACTGAGATCTTCAGTGTTCTCAAATTCCTCTCGAATAACATCATGAGGAGGCAATCCCATGGGATACACAATTGTCACAGCTCCACGCAGCATATCAAGAGCTTCTTTTACCATGTTTCTCGTGACAGGTACTCCAGCTTGAGCTTGTTTCTGTGGACAAAAGAATTTATTTAACAACTCAATGACAAGCCCTTCTTCAATAAGGTGAAAGGAAAATGAAATTATTATTTTTACCACAAGTTTACCTTGGATATAATGGCCTTAGCCTCCTCAATGGTCTTCCGAAGTACCTCCTGCATTTTTTCATTTGGTTGACGTCCGTTTCGACGACCAATTTCATCTTTGTTGAAAGTCCACCCACCACTAGGCACACACTTATCAGCCCATTCATCAGAAAGTTTTAGCTCTGAAACTTGCTCATCAGTAAGGCCCATTATATTTGGAGGCAGCATTGGACCATGATCAGCCAACTCCTCCATTTCTGAAAAGACAAAAAACAAAAATAAATTTGTGAATTAAGGCTTAAATTACTTTGTTTTTCAATGTCAAGAACTTACCCATACAGATGCGTCCTGCTTTGAGCCGCCCATTATATATAATAGTGACCTCTGTTATGACATCATTAACAGGTGTATCGGCAGGGACTTCGATCAGAAATTGACTTTCATCTCCTCTTTTGACGTGAAGCTGCACCATGTTTAAGTCCCGCGAGAACCTGAGACTTCAATTAAATTGGGATGTCGTGAAGGAATATTTGAAAAATACCTGTAAAAATTCATTAATTTCTGTCAGCACGGACAAAATATATTTCAAGTTCACATGTTTTGTGGTAATGTACGAAGGTTACAGGGATGCATTATGGCCTGATCTATGAAAATGAGAAAAAAGTACTCCCAGTAAACTATCAGTCAATGCATAAAATGCAAACCATGATTGTTGTTTCACGGAATATTACCTGCCTTGAGCACAAACAGATCCAACGTATAAAGGGTTGAAAGCCGACAGGCCGACAGCAGAAACGCACTTGAACTTCCCAAACTAAATGTGGACAACAAGGAAGAAAGAAATATAAAAGTCTGTCTATGATAAGAGATAAAAATTGACATGAACCATGAGAAAAAAATTGTAATATTTACATCAATGCAAATGTTTTAAATGACAACAAGTGTATGGTGGGATAATAGAGTTACAAATATGCACTTTACAACACGAACCAAGCAGACAAGCAGAAGCAAGCAGAAGATGGCACTACTGCTTATTTACAGTCTCCAACCCAAAAGCGATCTGAGCTACTCCTGTGTCATTTGATTGCAGTTTTTATTTTATGCATTATGTTTTCACTTTAAGTTATTTTAAAAATCATTTTTCAAATTTATATCTTTTATGAAAGTGTATCCATGTGGTATAAACGAATGTTTCAAAACGACAACTTTAGAGCCCATCGCTGGCTTTGGGTTGGAGAGTAATCTGAAGTCGAGGTACACTTCCGGTCGGCCATTGCCAGATCCTTCAACAGGCGTGATGAGATTCGACTAGGTGAGTTGGGTCTTTGAGCGGAGTTAAATGGATTTTACCCCTTCAATTACCCTCCGATGATTGGCGTAGGTATTAAGTGTTCGCCGTTCAAAGTGCCACAGCTCTGGAGTTTTACCTTGGACACAATTTTTGTATTATTTGAACTGCGGTGCGACCACGTTGCAGTGGATGCCGCGCTTAGGTTATGTTCTGCAACACTTTTTGTTTTGAGTATTTATCTCGTTGCGAAGTTTCTTTCCTGCTCTTAAGCGGTGTTAATCTTTCCTTGGATGTCAAGCTGGGTAATTCTAAGTCGATTTGTCACTTTCTCTAAGTCTTAGTTTTGCGCCAACCGGCTCATTGTTTTGCCGGAAACGTGTTTCGTGCATTAGGTTTGGTATCGATTAGTTAAAATTTCAGTCTCTTCGACGATCTATCTCTTTTTGTTCTCACTAATTCACTTACATACGGGGACTTCATTCAAATCCTGTCAAATTTGCTTGTTGTCTCCCAAGTGGCAAGTGTAGCTGTTTGGGTAGCGTGTCGCATAGGTTATGTCTCCATGGTGTGCTCAGTGTCACAACATTGCACTCTTTGTTTCGCGTGATTTGTTCCCTATGCCCTCGTTGTGCATGACTCTTCTGAAGTGAAATGTGTACGAGCTACACACGACTTGTCACTTCGGGTTTGGGCAGTTACCTTTTAGCCCGGGGCTTTGAAGACTCGAGGACCATCTGGGTGAGTAGCTTAGTTCCTTAGTATGTCAGTTTTTGTACTGCCCAGATCTGGAGTGGGAGTCCTGGTGGATGCTAGTACTGTTTCATTTCAGATTGGGCTGCACATTTTTGGTTACAACTTTGACCTTGTTTTGCATTTGCAGGTTTAAGATATAGCTCTGAGGAACCAGGGACATCAGACTTAGCCACCACAGACAGCCAACGCCAACATGCCACAGAACGAGTACATTGAGAGGCACCGTAAATTATATGGTCGCCGGCTTGATTATGAAGAACGTAAACGCAAGAGGGAGGCCCGTGCGCCCAAGAAGCGTGCAGAGAAGGCTCGCAAACTCCGAGGTATCAAGGCCAAGATCTTCAACAAGGAGAGGAGAAATGAGAAGATCCAAATGAAAAAGAAGATTCAGGCCCATGAAGAGAAAAAGGTACTTAAAATGCTTTTGTTTATGTCAACCCTGTGATGACTAGTTAGTGATCAGAGCAGATCTTGCATTAGGGACTTTCAAACAGGGTACTTGTTACTCATTTAGTCTCGGGAAGGTCTGAGCATGGACCGCCTAACACTCTAGCCGGGTGTATTCCTCTGAAATGAGGAGTGGGAGAAGAGAAATGTGGGGTTTGCCTGTTGACCCTGGGAAGCTATTAGCTGAGGGATGGCATTACCTTTTGGGAACTCCCATGGCCTGCATTTTGAGTTCAATGTGCGAGGTATTCATTTATAACTCAATTCAGACTAGTCCTGCTCTGATCTAATACTGAGGGTGCCTAGATTAGTTAATGAACTTGCTCTGTGATGACAGACAGCTGTCAGGTCAGGGGGAAGCTTGCACCAGGGACTCTCGCACGGAGTACTTGTTACTCATCTATGTCCCGGGAAGGTCTGAGTAAGAGCCGCTCTACACTCTAGCAGGGTGCATCTCTTGATGAGAGGTGGGAGACTAGGAATGTCAAGGTGGTCTTAATCCTGGGACGTCTTTAGGCTGAGGTGTGGCCATCTTGTTGGAAACTCCCATGGCTGGCATTTTGAGTGCAATGTGCAAGGCTTTTTTCGTAACTCAATTCAGACTATTCTTTCTCTGACCTGTGTGGCTCGTATCTACCTGAGAGCTCATCACTGTGCCTTAGTTTCGTTGCTTGGGTCTTTTGAATATCCACTAAATGCCTTTACCTTTTTATTTTCAGGTCAAGAAAACAGAAGAACAGCCCACAGATGGAGCACTTCCCGTGTACCTTTTGGATCGTGATGTCCAGTCCAGAGCCAAAGTTCTTTCTAATATGATTAAGCAGAAGAGAAAGGAAAAGGCTGGCAAGTGGGAAGTTCCCATTCCAAAGGTCAAGGCTCAAGGAGATTCAGAAGTATTCAAGGTATTGTCTCATCCAAACTTTGGTTTATTTGATTAGTATTTTTTTTCTTTCTTGTTTAACAAAGTACCTCTTTCAGGTTCTACGCACAGGGAAGTCCAGGAGAAAAGCATGGAAACGTATGGTCACCAAAGTCACATTTGTCGGTGAAGGTTTCACAAGAAAGCCACCTAAGTTTGAACGTTTCATTCGGCCGATGGCACTTCGTTTCAATAAGGCTCATGTCACACACCCTGAACTTAAGGCTACTTTTTGTGTTCCTATCATTGGTGTAAAGAAAAACCCAAGCTCCCCCATGTATACTTCATTAGGTGTCATTACAAAGGGTACTGTTATTGAAGTTAATATTAGTGAGTTGGGTCTTGTGACACAAGCTGGCAAAGTTGTGTGGGGAAAGTATGCCCAAGTCACTAACAATCCTGAAAATGATGGTTGCATTAATGCAATTCTCATTGTTTAAGTTAAGCTGTGACGTACCTTATCAAGTTGGTGTTAAGGCTAAGAGTGAAGTATTTCTAGGTCTGTTAAAATGTGAAACAAATGCTGTATCTTGTCCCTTAAATAAAAAATTTCGTAACCAATTTTAGTTTTGATGTGTCCCTGTCTCCTGTACATGACATCCAGAGCTGTGGTCTTTGCACACTTCACTAGGCAATGAAATTTATTTGATTATTTATTCACCATTATTTTTGTTTCATAGGTTGTCCTATAAGGATTTCATCATGCAGATCTTCGTCAAAAGTCAGGAGACCCTCTCCCTTGAGGTCCAGCCCTTCGACACTGTAGAACATGTCAAGAGCGAGATCCAGATCCGAGAAGGTAATTATCTTAGTTCATGTACCGGATTTCGATAAGTGGTGCTCTACTAATCTTATTTCATTTCAGGGATTCCCATCGACCAGCAGAGGCTGATCTTCGCTGGCCAGCAGCTTGAAGATGGACAGACCCTCGCAGATTATGATGTACAGAAGGAATCCACCCTTCACCTCACTCTTAGACTGCTCGGAGGTGCTAAGAAGCGAAAGAAGAAGAATTACTCCACCCCCAAGAAGATCAAGCACAAGAAGAAGAAGGTCAAGCTTGCTGTGCTTAAGTATTACAAGGTATGTGTTAAATTTCTGACAGCTCTGACTTGGCTTGTTTTCGTGACTTGTGGAATTGATTAATTTGTTGTGTTTCAGGTCGATGAGAATGGCAAGATCCACCGCCTGCGCCGTGAGTGCCCATCCGACCAGTGTGGTGCTGGTGTCTTCATGGCAGCCATGGAAGACAGGCATTACTGCGGCAAGTGCGGATACACCCTTGTATTCAACAAGCCGGAGGAAAAATAATTGTTAAAATATAGATTCCCCTCTAAACTGGTATTCTTTTTAATCTTCCAACCCTACCTCGACACATGTAGGAGCGGGGGCGAGCTCATTGATTTTCAATCCACGCAGTCTTGTCAGGAAATTTTGGTGCAGGGAGAGTAACGAAAGTCTATCAGGTTGCAGCATTTTATTTCTGCTCAAAATAGATAAAGATTAACTTTGCATTTCTGGTTCAGCACCTACTAGTGGTAAAGACTAGTTATAGTAAGTACAGATAAAAGAAACAATCACAAGCTAGCTACAATACAATGTACCACAGACAGATATCACTTAAACAGCAGAGATGCGCAATTAACCCATCAGTTGAGTTTCATTCAGGATATTTGCCCAGTCCTACCATCAAACAAAATTGTGCACACCATTTTATTTCTAAAGTGTGCGCTTCACAAGCTTTTAGAAACAGTCCAGGTTGTCCCTTCATAAACTCGAACATTCCATTATCATTAAAATAAAACATGTAGGTCATAGTAACCTAACTGGTGGGATGAGTAAGATACTACATTAATTGAAGGAAATTTAGCATAAGTTTTAAGTTTATACGTATTAACTAACTTGATCAGATTTTATTGATAAATGTCTCCAGCTGAACAACAACCACTGTTACTGGGGCAATAAAAAGCTTGATGAAAAGCAACTCTTTCCTTAAATGATTGATGAAATAGATGGTCCCCTTTAAGCGTGTCACTAAATGTGGTAGTGATTATTATACAAAAGGGAAACCAGGCAGCAATAAATTAGTGATTAGCCCCAATAAAAAGAATGATATGAATTTTATCCCCCTTTTTAACCAACTTGAGCTGAGCACAAGCTAAACTGATCAAGACTCCCAACACGAAAGTAGCTGATAACAATTATGGAAATCCCGAGATTTGACATCTAAAATATAACAAGCAAGTACAATAAAGGACACCAATGAAAAAAAAACAACAAATAGATAAGATCTTGCAATAATGAAAACAATCCTGCAAGATGTGGTCAGTTGCAACAAAGAAATAGTTAAATAAAAACATGACAAAACGGCTTCACCTACACTCCACTTATTTACAAGACTATCAAAATTGCAATGGGCTGCTCCAATGAACTTGGAACTCAACAAATTACTACAAAAAGAAATCTTCCACAAAACCATTTTGAAAAAACAGTTCAACAATAAAATTATATTTGTACTTAACAATATCTTCAAATATAGATACTGATACATGCACATAACAAATACAGATTATTCAACAGGTGTACTATTTTAGTACATAGCAAATGGCAGGACCACTTCCGCTGCTCCAACTTCCTAAAAACAGGAGGAAGATCAGCTTTGACTGGCTGCAAATTGCTCTACATAAAATACATATACTTCATTAGGAACTGATCTTCAAAATTAACTACCTCAGTTCCTGACATGTGAAGTTCAGGTTGCCATTGGCATCATATATCTAAGACATACATTAACTTCATAAGAGCAAATGAGCAGTGTTACAGCACCAAATCTATTACAAAGGCAAGACAACATGCCGAGAGAGGAAGAAGACTCTCAGCTTCTTTGAGAACTGTTACAGCAGATAAATAGGCAACTGCCATCAGTACGTACAAAAATTGAAAATTTTTTAATTTGAACAAATACTTGCAGAGTAAGTGAAATCAAATACACTAATGAAGTATGTTGAAAAAGATCTACTGCTCTAAAGAAGCCCCCTGAGCTTCTAGCAAATGAGATTTGAACAGATGCTTCAAAAATCCAATGACAGAAACTTGTAGTAAGGCATTCAAAATAGTTCCTAAAAATTGCTGAAGCTATCACATTTAATCTAATCTATTATTATAAATTCATGTAATAAGGTACATTTCTATGAATTTATAAATTTCACTGCTATGAATTACTGTGATCATTTGCATCAATATTGTTTGTGAGCTCCTTAATAGCTGATGTAAGTTTGTGTTTCACTCTTGGCTGTATGGTTAATTGAAGTTCTTTCAGAGAATCCTCTGTCTGGAAAATATGAAAAAAGAGAGTGGTTTAAATCTTTTTATGTAAGTCAAAATTGAATGCAATTCTTAAGATTACGTACCTCTCTGAGAAGAATCACTGAAGTTTGTAATATTTTTTGCCATTTTTGCATTTCTAAAGTATGCAGAGCCTCTTGTTTTCGTACCAGATGCATCCATTCCTCTTGGGTGGTAGGAGGATTTTTGCTGCAAATATTTCCAGGTAAGATTAGAAATTATTAAATGACTAACTAACTTCACAGAAATTATCAGCATACATTCGTAATTAACTTACCTCAATGACTGTACATCTTCATTCAAGCTGACAGGAATAGGATCAACAGCTGACCAACGCTCGAAACACAGCAGTTTATAATACAATGCTCCATTCATGAGGAGAAGCAATACAAGTATTCCCAAAATTACTATGTTAACTGGTTCCACACTGTTTGATCTTGAACTAACAACTTGCCTGAAAAAGAGAGGAAAAATTAATTTATGAACAATTGTTTGTTTATAGTGATGATTAACTTAAAGGTGGGGCGATAAAGTAATGCAAAGACGCACATTGTTTGCCAAATCAAATTGAAACCTGATTCAAACCAAGTAATAATGAAAATAGAGAATACAATACAAAATTACCTTGAATTAACACTGTCAAAGCAATTTTCTGTAGCTCCAACTGAGCCCCGAGGTAGAGAACGCCTGTGAAAATGTAGCCATGCATGCAGTCAGTCATGAGAAAAATCATGCGGTCACAAGTCAGAGTTAGAGCTCACCAAAGAATAGCAACCAAACATCAAGTCTCGTTATTTGGAATTAAATCGTCTACGAGCAGTACAGTTGACAAAAGTGCATTGATCCAACACCACTTGTTAAGTAGTAGGATTGCTGCTATTATTGAAAGTATTTACAAATGCCAAAATATGTACAAGCACATATTACATTTCAGTACACACCTTCCAGTGGAAGAGCGAGATCTTGGCACCATAGCTTCATCAGCGTGTCGGGTTGAAGAAAGTCGACGAGCTGAGCCTCGAATACGCCGCCTTACTTTGGGAGGAACTTCCACTTCTTCCTCGGCAATCAATTCTTCATCTACACAACATTCTGCTTGGAGCGCCTTGTCTAGTGAAGAATAAAACTCTTCTAAGCCAGCCCATGTGTGTTTCTCAATAAATCCTAAGAAGAAACAAAATATTAAATAGGCTTATTCATCAATCAGGATAACAGACTCACTGAAAATGTCATACCCTTCACAACCCAAACAGATTTTTTGTACTTTATGTCAGAGAACACCATTATAGAAGATTCTGTCTCACTGACTTTGTTGAGGCAATAGTGTGTTATTATTACAAAAGAATCAGCATAAGGGATTCCAGCATTTTGAGACTCAGACTCAATTGCATACATTTTGCCAGGTTTGCTACACTTTAACATGACCTAGAAAAAAGGAGGATAATTTAAAATGTGCGCAAGTTTCATGGAAAAAACTGATATAATTGACCATGAATATCAATTTACCTGGCTTTCTGTGATTTGAGATTGTCTTCTTCCCACAACTGCCTGGTTTATGTTGACAGTAAGACACAAAGTACGTAGCCGTTCATTCTTTGCATTTTGAGTCCATGGAGATGGCTTAATATCTTAGAGAAGAGATTAAATGGAACAACATTACACATTTTCACAGCATCTTTTAAAAAAGAACACATTGGGAACTTAAATGAACTTACTTGATGAATTTCGTGATACATGAAAATCCACAAAAAACTTTGAATTTGTGAACAGGAGAGTAAATAACTGATCTACAGAAACTGGCAGAACAACTCGGAGCATCTGTCTGCCCTCATGCTGAGATGTACATTGACCAGATCCACCAGAGATACCCAAGAGATCTGAAAATTTCAATACTACCAGTAAAACCTCACTCTCATGATAAGAAACAATTACAGTAATCATGTAAATAAGCAGGGGGTTATTTACCAGGTACTTTGTCAGCTTCTGATTCAGTAGTATCACTCATGTCTGTTTCAAGTTGGGTATCAGGATTATTAACACAGAGGTTGTTTGGGGATGTTACAGACGATGGAGTTGACAACGGAGGAGTTGGTTGAGTGGTTTGGATGGAAGGGACAGTTCCACTTTTCTCTACATTCCCTAAATCAGATATTGAAACTGGAGAGGTAATATGGGACTTCAGGTCCTCCGCACGAAGAGAATCCTCTGGTGTCACTAAACCATCCTACATCAGGAAAAACAAAGGTTAAAACTTGAGATAATTAATGTAAAAGAATATTGTGTTACCGACATTAAGGAAACATTATTAAAATCTGTGTCTTATTATTATTTAAATCAAAATGGCGGTCTTTAGAAATGTTGAAGAACGTTATCTGAATTTTTAATTAACTTTCAATTTTTATGAACTTTTGAAATTTTGATCAATTAAAAAAATCAATTAACCAACGGACCAGATGCTTTTTTCTTTTACCATTAGAAGCCCTCTGAATTTTTCATTCTATGGAAAACATAGCACAAAACGAATGACTTACCTCAGAAAATGATTCCATGGAAAGTCTTGAAGTTCCTTCTACCATGGGCAAAGGCTCAATGTAGTCTTCATCCTCACTTGTTAGACCCAACTCCTGCCCGTAGCAAGCATGCACCCACTGCCACATCTCCTGCATTGACATTTGCTGAAGAAAGATAAGAACCAAGATAAGATTAAAATCAGAAAACCAGCAGACAGATGGCAATCATAGCACAAGAAACACTGAACTTACTTGGCCCATAAGAGCATTTTGCCAAACGCGAAACAACATAAGGTATGCTTTGTCCCTAGCACCAAAAGAGGTGAAAAATAGCTTTTCAGTTTCTGTACAGACTAATATGGCATTTGGAATAACAAGAGCTGTTTTTTCTTTGGTGATTGCAGTGACATCCTTCCAGCGTAGACAAATCTGTTCATCAGAATAATTGCAGTAAGTGGCATATGGAGAAACAGCATGAAGGGGTTCAAGGGTCTATCAACAACAATTTCACTTACCAATGTTTCCCAGCGGAAAATATTAGCATAAAAACATAGAAAGTTTTGTGAAACATACAAACGTCCATGAATGAGGATTTCTTTGGCAACAGCACAGGAATAATCTAAGGGGAGGATGGAGGAGAGAGAGAGAACATAAATTGGAGAAAGAAAGCTTCGGTTTAAAATAGACAATACTGTGTTACGAACTAAATGTCTTACCAACAATAAGTCTTTCTTCTGGAGGAACATCTTTAAAAATTCTGTTGAAATCTTTACTTCTGGATTTATACGTTGGGTAAAGAATATTGTACCAAGATGACTTCTTTTTTGAGCGATCAGATCCTCTTGATTCTTTCCTTTCTTTCCCACTCTCGTGACTCACACTACGGCTTATATCTGCCTGACTCGAGTCAGATCCTCTACTAACATTGTCCTGGAAGTGAATGATAAAAAATGAGTTGAAGATGAATAGATAAAGCATAATTATGAGACGGTTAAATGAGCGCTTGTTTAGCACAAACATGGAGGATTGTCTAATTCCTCCATTGAAAACGGGTGTCAAATGACACAAAAAAGCAAAGAGATGGAGAAATTTTTAGTACAAAGAAATAAGTATAAGTTTTTGACTGTTTAGTTCTCCAGCAAAAATGTTTCAAAAAATTTAATTAAAAATAGAATCATGAAAAATTCTTTGAAAATGGGCAAACTGACAACCTCATGTAATTTTGCGACATTTTCAGCTAGCATCATTTGAAAGCAATTTTTTTCAAATTAAGACAAGTAAATGAAAATAACTAGAAACAGGCAATGAATGAGATTATTTAGTCAAATTACCAATGCGCACACCAAATCTCTCACACATAGCACACACACATCAAAAAATCAACAAAAACATAGGAAGAGAAAGAGCTGGAAAGAGCAGCAGTTCAATTAAAAACTAAGAAGGAAAAACCTCATTACAACTTTCAATCATGAAAAATGAAAATGTACTAATAATTCTGATCTAACATGGTACATAAATGAATATCTACACTATAAACTAATGAAATCTAGTGGCACCAAAAGGGTCGCAATAATCCAGTCAACAGAACCCAAGAGGAACAGCATTGAAACATCACAGACCTTAGATAGGCAAAGAAAGAAATAATAAGTAAACAACACTAAGTTTGTAAAAAAAAATCAATTTCTTATAAATCAATTCAATAATCTAAGTCTAAATTCATGCATGCTCCAGTTTTTAACATAACGTATCCAAATTCAAATAGGAAAAGAATAATTCGAGATATATTTAAAACAGGAGCAGAACAAAATAATTCAACTGGCTACCTAGAGAGAAAGAGAGAGAGAAGTACAAAGGAAAGATTCCAAAAAAATCATGAAGTCATGAGCAACTAATTTTGTCTACATGCACTGGAACACACTACTAACCTGTTTTCCACATTTAGGCTTGAATAGGGTAAATAGAGAACGCATGACAAAAGAAACCAAGGCAGTTAGACTATGCTTTCAGATCAAAGCTTAACAAAACACACCAATCCACAGGCAGGAGTTCAAAGGACGCTTTTCCTCAACAGCAATATGGGTTCTGCATGACATGTAATATTTTTTGGACTCTTTTAATGAGATCTAGCCCACACCACAGTATTAGTTCTTTCCAAATTAGGTCTATTAAAATGCATTCCTTGCGTTCACCCCAGCACCTCAGATGAGTGAGTAACTCTCTACACATGAAGTAATGTATGGAAAGACAGCCTCAGTAATTATTTGCTGCTTAGTTTTAATCGACACGACACTCTATCTGATACGGCATTATGAAAGTTAGTGTCATTAGGCTCAGCATGAGATTTCAGGTAATACGATGGCACACCTCAGTAGTATGATAAGATGTATCACTTGTAGAGGAGCAAGAGCGAGAAACGGAACGAGAACTTTTCCTCAAGTCCAAACTTGATCCACTGCTGAGTTTGCCTGTTTTTCCACTAGAAGCTGAGTTTGAGCTTGCTTGAGAGGAAGAACCCACAGATCTCCTGTCACTTTGACCAAGGACTTTTTCAAGTGAGTGAACCTGAATCAAATTATAGAACTTTCAGATGTATTCACAATTCCTATAAACACAATCACCAAGTGAAAACTTGAATCCACCACACTCTACAGTTTTACTCTGATCTGCCCCAGGCTTTCTCCTGTTGGAGACTGGCATCAAAACGACAAAGTTGACAACTCTTCCAAACAAAACAATTCATGAGATGAGAATATATTACTGCCGGGATACATTCTGTATTCGTAACAGATACATATCAAGGAGAGGAATAAAGTAGAGGGACAGAAAATTCAGGCCTACCCTCTTCCTAAAATTGAAATGGTGACAAGTACAGACCAGAAGATCGAGAATCATAGCCCACAAAACCTTTGAATTTTGAGATAGTGTAAACATTGTGCTACTAACCAGTTCAGTGTTGCTCACATCAATTCTGTCAGTTGCAGGACTGGACTCTTTAGTGTTAGATCCAGAGTCTGACTTTTGGTTATCTCTCTTATGTTGCTGACGAGGTGATGGTCGAGGACTCGGCTGAGGACTTGGATTAGGGCTAAAACAAAACAAAAAAAGAATGTAAAGTTCAGTAATTCAAGTATGTCAGAGATATATAAGTAACTTCAGTACCAACCTGGATTCTCCTGTGGTTTGACTCTGCAAACCCTGACTTGGACCTTGCAAAGGCAGACTTGGAAGTGTCATGGTGCTAAAAGTTAGTGAAGACCCAATTACATCTTGTCCAGTCATGAGAAGGTTTTCCACCGATTTCCTCCTGTACAACATGACAAACAACAAAAATTACTTCATACTTGAAAAATAACAAACAAAAAGGGTAATGCATAAAATTTAAGTGCAAAATAATCAGAGGAGAATAACACAAAGGATTGTTCGCATTCAAGATTTAGAGAAAGGCAGAAAGATACCAAAACCACAAAACCACAAGACCATTCACCAGCAAAGGAGACCAAAACAAAAAATATAAAAAATTTGCAGGACTACTAAGACACAGTTGATAAGTTGAATTTTTAAAAAAATCCAGCACAAAATGTTTTTGCTTTTTTTTTAACAATTGTTTGGTGGTATTTTTTTTTCCTCTTGATTTTATTGTTTTAGAAGAAAACATCCTAGTGTAGCGCAATAACAGCATGCAATTTAATGTTAATGGTGGAAGCAAGATGTAACAGTAAATTAAGGCCCAAAACTTTGTATTTCTTCTCTTTGCAGAAAAATGTACATTTAGTCTAGTGTGACATGCAACGTAAGAGACCTAGAAGGCCATCACAGCAATGTTAGGTATAACATATATGAATGAGGGCAGAAAGTTAATCATTACATCTAATTTAATCTCACAACATATGAAAGATACCTGATGAACCCACACTGGACCCAATTGACAAATTGGTGCTCTCAGATCCACAATGGCCGTTCACACATAGAAAATATTGACAAAGCAAGGGTATGAGATACTCCTGAAAGAAAGCAAAAGAGGCAGGTTGTCCAAACAGGCCGTGTAAAACAGTTAAAAGGCGTGAATTTTATTTCAGGCATGCCCTCTTGCTAGCTTGAAACACCAGGACAACATCGTTCAAACTAAAGTACTACACAATTCTACCACATGGGATAGTACAACAGAGTTTGCACTTGGGTAATTCAATTCAACTCCCTCGCCCCCCAAAAAAGGATAAGACAAATGTCAAATGTCAGTTAAATCAAAAATTGTACTCTGCATGGTTCTGCTTAGTGGTTGTTCTTCAAATGATAGCCTGGTCCTATTCGTGCTGATTTTCTCTTCAATACTAGGAAGACCCTGGTCACAGTTTTATCCATACCAACATCAAATTGATTTAATTCTACACTGTCACCTCCAATAATCCATACAACCGCAAGACCCAACACAAAAGAAAGTTTTCAAGATTCCCATTTGGCAGAATGAACCAACCTCATCTTAATCCAAGTTCTAGATTCTTTCACCCACTTGCCGAGATGAGAGGGGGAGAGTGACGCTCCAGAACTGCCCAAAAAGGAAGAGCGTAAAAAAATTTAAGTGCATTAAATTCATCAACTATGACAAGGATTCAGACAGTTCATGAAGCAACTAGCAACAGTAAGAAACATTTATTTATCATAATGTTCGTACTAAAGCTGGACTGAGATGAAAAGGGGCAATGTGTGTAAACAAATAATAATATTCTACATCTATTCTAATAAAAACGCGAAACAAAATCTTTTAATTGATCTTTCTATTTTAAAAACCAATGGATTGGGTAATGACTGAAAGAACTGGCAAGCTTGAAATACCTGTATATTCCCTTTCAACATAAACACATAGACTTGAGAGTAACTGACAGACATCTGTAGGTTATAAACTGGTCAACTGAGCTTGAAGTGAAAATGATTGATTATAGGGAACTAGCAATGATGCAAGTGAAATAGATTTAAAAATGTTTCAGAAAACTACACGAGTCCTTTAAAGAGACAATAGAAACGGATTGAATAACACTTGTACTTCATGGGTCGAAGATGACAATTGTGACAAGACTTTGACTCGACAAGATAACGTGAAAATGTGAACAAAGCATCCAACAGGACAACTTAAAGCTGATATTTAATAGAATTTCAAAAAACAAAACTTGAAAGCCAACCAACTAAGAGACCCTCCCAGAACACGGCTTGATTTAACAGGCAAGTTGCAGCAGTGTTGTTCTGCACAGAAATGCAAATGCCACACAGATCTACGCTTGCAGCTCAGTCCAGCATCAAAATAAAAGGGCAAGAGACATCCTTCCGAGGCGACAAGTCTCTGCATTGTGAGTGAGCGTGTGAGAATACCAAAATCAGCTGCTTGACACAGCAGGTGCTAAAACATGCGCATAAATACTCGGCGTCGGGCCGTCACGACAGGCTCCACACTTCCACACTGCTTGACAAAGTTTCCTTACATAAAAGCAGCGGCTGCTGAACATTGTCTCTCTCCATCAGTCATTGTGAAGCGCGAGATAACAGAATAACTTCAGGGTAACTAGAGGCAGAACGGTCTTGCGTCCTTCTTTGTTTATCAAATCATCTTTGAACAAACAGACTGCCTGGGCGATCGTTCAACACCACACAACTCGACGAGTACAGGCGGGCGACTCACGAACAGTTAGAGCCCGTTTTCAAGTCAGCAGTTCAATTCAAAGCACATTTTTGGGCTGAAAATTACTGAAACCTGTCATTGCATCGATTTGGCCCGAATCCTCCCCTGGCCAAGTGGTGCTGGTCACACCAGCGACTGTCGTTTGTCGAACATGTGTTTTCCTTTTTCCTCGGCGGATGCATTATTGCCAGTCCGCAGTCCGCTATTGGCAGCACGACCCTGTGTTTCTGGGTTTCCCTCTTCCTTCTCTCGACTCTCGAGGGAAGGGAAAACAACCAGAAGGCAACCCGGCCGGCGCGGCAGAGACAACGAGGCTTCGACCGATAAGCTTGGGGACTGTCATCACATCTGTCTGTCTGGCTTCTGGCCCTCCGCGCCGCCAGTGCCATTCATTATCACTATTCGCACTGCTCTGATTAGCGCGTCGCTTCGAAAGGCGCGCGCGTCCGGCCGTCCACTGTAGGGACTGTCCGCGGGGCGGGAGAGACGGCGCTACGCCCGTCCGCGGGAATTGGGTCGCTATTTGCAGAACAGCGCCTCGATGACATCCGCAAAGGAGCGGGGCGAGCGCAGCGGCCTATAAATAATTCGCCGTCGAATAACGCGCACTGCGCGTCGAACGGGGTCAGCGAGTCGGCGCCGGGCGGCCAAGGCCGCGTCCAAAACACGCCGAAAGCCGAGTCAACCTGACTCAGAGTCTCAGAACAGCGACTGGGCCTCCTGGTCCTCCTGCACGGACATGCTGAGCGCGAGCTGCGCGAGCACCACGATGTACGTCGTCACGGTGGCGGCGGCCTGCGCGTTGGGCAGAGCAGAGCGTGGCGTGAGTCTTGGGCCCGAGCCTCCGAGTTGGGAAACTACGGACGAGCTACTCACGGCCACGCTCAACTCCCTGTTCACCACGACTAAGCGCCTGAGCCGCAGGCACACCGGTTTGAACTGCAGCACCTGGGCGAAGCGCATTACCTGCGGCCAGACGAGGCGCGCGCGTCAGCCGCTTCAACGGTGCGACCCTGCAGGTTCGTTCGTCGCTCCGACTCACTCATGGGGCGTCCCGTGAGGGCGCAAGAGAGACAGAGCGACGAACCACTGCGCGGCACGGCGGTATGGTATGGTACAGTCCCGACAGAGTACCCACCTCGAGCCTGGTCTCGGCGTCCAACTGCCCCAGCGGCGTCGTTAGCAGCTCCAGGAGCATCCCTCGGGACACCTGAAACGAACAGGGGCACTGTGGGCTATCTGGCATGGCCCGCGGGTAGTGCCGCCCGTCGCACATCACTGATACCGTCAACAAAGAGGACCAGTCAGTGGATCCCTTCTCCGCAGAGATAACCATCCGCCCGTTGCAGTGTCGCAGATAGCCAAAGTTGAGCAGCTGCATCACGGGAGGGAATGCCAAGACAAAAGCCTTTCCGTTTATTTTATTTTCTTTACACGTGCGGCGCGCCCTTTGCTGTGAATAGCAGGGCGTGGTCGGCATTACGGCCGCCCGAACGGAACAGGGGGCGATCGATACAAAGTATACAAGGAAGCTAGGGCGCGGCTACTGCGTAGCGCGTGATGAGTGGCACCTTTTAGTGGCGCCTCTAGTGGCACCTCTAGTGGCACCTCTTGTGGCACCTCTAGTGGCACCTCTAGTGGCACTACAGTGCACCCACGTGGAACACGGCGCGGCTGCCCTGGCTGCAGAACCAGTTGACTATCATGGCGGTGAGGGTGGCGGTGACGAAGGTGGAGGCGACGCGGCGCCACGCGCCCTTCCGCAGCGCGTACATGAGTCCGTACCAGCTGGCCATGGACATGAGGAGCACGGCCAGGAAGGCGTGCAGCATGACGGTGCCCCAGGCCTCGCCCAGGGCGTGCGTCAAGGCGCGCAGCCGCAGCCACAGCATGCAGTAGCCGCGCACCGCGGTCGCCGTCAGCTGGCCGCGCTGTGGGGAAAAGAAAAGGGAAGTCGGAGGGACTCGAACCAGCAACCTACTCCACCACGATCTGGCTCGCTAGCCGCTCGGCCACAAACGTTGAGGTGCCGCCGGAAGAGCCGCGGCATCTTGACGGCCGTGGAGACGACCTCGACGTTGAGGGCTCGCCACAGCAGGGCCTGCGTGCAGACCTGCCCGACCACGAAGACGTACAGGGGCACCTTCCAGGCGAACAGGTGCGGGGAGAAGCGCGCGTGGTACATGGGGCTGAAGAGGCTGAACGCGAAGACGAAGGCGGCGATCGGGCCGGACTTTCGGCCGCAGTGGAACCGCAGGGGGTCGCCGGTGACCGCCAGCCAGCTCGCCTGTGGGAAAAGAAAAAGGAGAGTTGCCGGGTGTTGAACCCGGGGGCGGGGTCGCATTCGCTGGCTAGTGTTGGTAAACAGGCTTGGGGACGTGCGCGCCCTTGCGTCCCGCGTCCGGTTTGGATACAGTACTCTCCGTATTTTGGTAACATGAATAGTACTCCAGAATCCGGGTGAACGGCCGGTGGTGCGGACCTGGAAGCGAGTCCAGTCGTTGAAGTAGCCGGCGAGCTCCCTGCCCGTGTGCCAGTGCAGCATGGGCACGGACAGGGGCAGGATCTCGTACATCATGTGCAGCACCAGGATGACGCGCTCGATGTAGGGCTCCTGGCCGGACGTGAGGCGCTCGAAGGTGGAGCGCAGGCAGGCCGCGGCGAGCAGGGCCTGCGCCAGGGCCAGCGCGTAGCACGCCAGCATGCGCCCCCCGCACCACGGCGTCGCCTCGTACGCGAACGGCGCCAACGCCGCGCCTGCGAAAACGGCCAAAAAGCGCGGCGCGCCGGGGCTTGAACCCTTGAACCCCGACCCGGTGTCCGAATGAGTGAGACTGAACGCCAGCACCTTGCGTGTCTGCGGTGTCTGCGACCTGCACGGGCCAGCCCCCCATGAGGCGCATCAGCTTGATGAAGTGCCTGACTTCGTGGTGCATGTCGGGCGGCGCCTCTCCCGCCTCGCGGTGGCGCGGCGACAGGGCGCGCCGCACGGCGTGCCTCCTGGCGGGGGTCTTCATGGCGGCCAGCGCGACTCTGCAGACTCCAATGGCCCTTCCCGCCCGCCTCGCGGTCGTTGTCGTCGTTACCGCCGCCCGTTGATGGCCTTTGCAGTCTTTGCTTTCGATGGCTAGATTACAGACGAATCGGCGGACGGTGGACTCGACGCTGTCGCGTTATCCGATAGCGCGCGATGCTCGCGATAGCACTGCAATGCCGTCGGCATCAATCACACGGAGGCGGGTAGGCACACTGGGAACGGGGAATGGCGCCCTCTTTATTTTTAGATCCGGCGTCTCTCAACTCAAATGACATTTTCAAAACAACGATAACAGCTTTAATTTAGGCACGCAGTGGAGGGCGCTCGGTAGAACAAACAGTACACATATCACTGAGCAAAAAATGAGACTAGAACGTCGTCGCGGCCCGCGCGTCGAATGGGTTGCCTGCCCTCCCGGCGTGCTGCCCGGCCCGGGGGAATGCCGTGGCGAGTCCACCGAGTCGGGCAGCGTCTCTCAAGTCCTGGACACATCAGTTCGTCTTCTTCTTGGGGGACTGCTTGGCCGGCGCGGCCCGGGGCTTGGCCAGCAGCTTCCGGACGAGGAGTACCGGCACCAGGACGACGGCCAGGACGGCGGCCAGGAAGACGGCCGCCACGTCCAGCAGCAGGTACTGGTACAGCGGCATGTCGGCGCCGAGGGGCCGCAGGTGGGGGGCGCCCTTGTTCCTCACGACGTACTCCGTCCACCACAGCGCCTCCGCGGCCGCGGACCTCGGCCGGTCCAGGTACAGGTCGGCCACCTCCCTGGCGCGCTTCCGGTACCTGCAGCAAGTCCAGTTCAGAAAAGCACGTTCCGCCCGACTGTCTCAGTGGACCAGACTGGCGGCGGAAAAAAATTCTAGACGCGTTTAGAGCTCCAGAGTCGCTAAATGGGACTTGAGCCGAGCGTGTGACCCAACCAATGGATTGCTCTCCGAACGAGGAATCGATTGGTGGGGTCACACGTTCGGTTCGAGTCCTGTTTCGCGACTCTGGACTCCAATTTTGGACGCCTGCACCGGTCTTCTGGCCCACTGTGTGTCTGCGAGACGCCTCACTTGTCCGTGTCGGTGAGCTTGTGGATGGCGGCGAGCATGTTGTCCTTGGTCATCTCGGTGTGCGGCAGGTGCAGGGCGATGCCGAGGTGCTGGTAGCCCAGCACGTTGGGCTCCTGGTCGGCGAACAGCGGGATGCCCAGCATGGGCACGCCCAGCAGCACGGCCTCCGTGGTGCCCATGAGCCCGCCGTGGGTGATGAACAGGACCATCTTGGGGTGGGCTGCATGGAGGGAGAGTCGCAAAATCAAGTTATGGTTTTTGGACCGCTTTCAAGCGGAACAAACAGCTTTCATTGGCGGTCGGCGCGATGGTCTCTAGGTAGGCTGCGACGTGCGATAACGGAACGGGCGGGTCGAGGAGACTTCTCGCGTGACTACTCGAGTCATAGCCATTTTGGACTAGGTCCATGATTAACCCTGTTCCGCTGCCCGTTGTCCTTGCTGCCCAAACTTCAGCGCGCCTCCCTGTGCCGCACCGGTTTTGGCGCCAACACAGCGGCGGCAGCGGCGGCAGCGGGACGACCGGAACTCACCCAGGACGTCGGTCTGCGGCAGCCAGCTGGCCGTGCGGACGTTGGGCGGCAGGTCGAGGTCGTCCTCCTCGTACTTCCACAGCACGCGCTGCGGCAGCGCGCCGAACGCGTCCAGCAGGGCCTGGATGGTGTGCTTGGGCAGCGAGCTGGTGCGCACGAGGGAGCCCAGCGTGAAGAAGATGACGCCGTGCTCCGCCTCGTCCATCCACTTGCGCAGCCCCGCCTCGAGGCGCGGGCTGCTCACGCGCTCGGCCTTGGTGTCCTTGAGGTGCAGGCCGCCGACGTGCACCACGTTGGGCGTGACGGGCACCGCCGGGTTGACGCTCACGTGCCGGTTCACCAGCACCAGGCTGGTGCGCCTCACGAGCTCGTTGATGGGCGGCGTGTCCGCGCCGAAGAACTGGCGCACCACCGCGTCAGCGCCGTCGTTCAGGATGGTCTGCAAAAGTGTCGCAGGTTCGAGTCTCATTCGCAGGCACCCCTTTAGTAGCGTGAGTGAGGGAAAATGGGATGGAAACTCAATACTGGGAATCCTTGTTTTCTTATCGGCCCGTAAGTCGGCTCTTTCCGTCGCGCAATGGCAATGCTGATCGGGCTGATCCACACGTCGCTGCGTCGGCAGGCTCGCCGAAAGTTTCACAACGAGATTGCTTTTGGTCCCGTGACCGGCGTGGCCCACCTTGTGCTTGTACCGCTTCATGAGGTACGTGTAGGTGTTCATGGCGCGCTCCAGGAAGCTCATCTTGCCGGCCACGGGCTCGTCGGGGGTGATGATATACGACGGGTTGTCCACCGACCCCACGCGCTCGTGCATCCACGCGAAGTCCGGGGCCGTCACCACGCTGATCAAGGGCAGCTGTCCGCGAAAAAGAAAATAAGTGGAGATTCGAACGCGCGACCTGCGGCGTGGCAAACAGCCGCGGAACTCCTTTCGGCTACACAGCGCGTACGTTCAGCTTGTAGGCGACCACCGACCAGCAGTCGCTACCGAAGATCTCCGTGAAGACGACGTCGAACTTGCCGTACTTGCCGCTCATGACGTCCTTGAAGTGCTGCGTCTCGAACACCCGGCGGCAGAGGTCGGGACCAGCGAAATTGTTGATGAGCTCGACGATTTTGAACCTGCTGAAGCTGGTCATCTGCTCGAAGGTGAGGGAGTTGACGAGCGAAGGGAACTCTTTGGACAGGTCCACGTCGGTGTAGTTGGCGCGGGGCGTCTTCTGCGGGAAGGGGCTAAACTGCACCACTTCGTGGCCGTTGTCCGCCAGCACCTCCATCAGGGCCTGCAGGAGGAGGTAGGGGACCGAGTGAGCTTTGAGTGGCGGTAAGTCGCGGCCAAATGGGGAAAGATGGAGCCCAGGGAAACCCTGGATGTGCAGTGCCGACGGGCCGGCTTAGGTGAAGGGCGCAACTCGCGGCACGATGACCCCGCTCGCGCCCAAAGAACTTGCACTGTATCGTACAGGCCCATGCTGTCTGGCAGCCAAACAGAAAGTCCCCCTATGACGAATTTTTCTAGGCTAGAAACAAGTTATCTGAAGATAACTGGTCACTGAACCTGGCCACGTGCGGGGCCGCCACTACCCATCGTGTAAATGGGGGAAAGTACTAGATAAAAACTCGAACAGAAACCGGGACTCGAACCCCAGTCCCTTGGGTTGGTGACTCAATGACCTTAAACATGATGTTGTGGCTGCGGCCGTTGAACGGGAAGAAGCCGAGGACGCGGTAGGAGTCCGCGACGGGCAGCGCCACCGCCGCGAGCAGCAGCAGCGCCGCCATCGGCGCCAGCGCGGTCGTGGTCCGGCACATCCTGGACGTCCTGCAGGTCCTGCACGTGGCGGTGGAGACTCTGCGTGCACTGCGACTGCGAGTCCGGCCGGCCGCCGAACCACTCCGTGCGCGCCGCAGTCATCTTGGCCCTCCCCGACCCGTCGGCAGCCCATGGCAGCCTATGGCAGCCCCCCTCCAAGCGGCAGGGCTCTCCTGCGAAAGCGCGCAATGCTGCTCATGATAAGCGCACCCGAGTCGTTATCTGTGCACTTTTTTGATCTTCCAAGCTCGACTCTGCAGGTGGCGGCATTGCTCGCGTACCGCCGGGAGCGGTACGTCCGCCTTCAAAAAACGGACCGCGCGACATGGATTCGAACCCGCGACCCGCGCCGGTCGCAAGGATGACATGCAGTTTGGGTATTTCGTAACGTTTCGTGCAGCGTCCGCCATGATTGAGAGCAATCAAGGTTCACGGCCTATGATGGCGTGCGACGGCCTGTTGGACTGTGAGGCTTGATCAAGCGACGGCGAAGTCCGACAGCCAGAAACTCTGTCTAATCAGAACCCGACACTATCGCTTCGAACATCTATTACCATCTATTACATCATTGTCTGATAAGACAGTGCAGTGCAAAGGTTTAGAGAGGAGTCTCGAAGTTAACTGAACTTCTCTAGAATAGATAACATTTTATTACAAATCGCTTCAAGAAGATAAACATAACTACAATCCCGTCGGTTTGACGGCTCAACGTGATTACAATATTAATAACAACAAAATTATATCACAGATGGATTGCGCGGTACGCGCACGCGTTCCATTGAGATCAAATCAAAATACTTGGCTGTCACGACAATGCACTGTGAATAATCAGAAGTTCCCGTGCGTCTGTAGGCCGTGACAGCGGCCGACCGGAGCGACACCCGCACGCCCGCCGCGTAGGCAGCACATCGCGCGCCGGTCGACTGCGGGTGGCCTGTCTCCCCGGCGCACTTGGCGCACTAGACACACTTGGCTCTCGCCTCGCCGGCGGCTATTTCAGCCTCTTCGGCACATGGCCAGATCACCTCATGCATACGGCCAAAGAGGTGCGCCAACCGACAGAGTGGGATCAGCCGCATGTGGACGGTGTCCACGTGGTCTTGCAGCTCCATGTCCGAGGCGAGCGGTGCGGAGCACTCGATGCAGAGCTTGTGCATGGCCTGGTCCAGGGCGGAAACCCCAACGGCATCCTCCTGTACGACGGTCTCCTCCACGGAAGCCTCCTGTGGGGCGGTCTCCTGTGCGGCAGTCTTCTCAAAGGTGTTCGTTTCAACGGCAGTTTCCACGGCAGTCTCCACGACAGCATCCTCCCCGATGACCTCGCCGGCAGTCTCTCCGAAAGAAGTCTCAATAATCCGATCGATGATCTCTCCAGCAGCCTTCACGACAGCAGTCTCGTCCGATACCGCTGAGATTCTGGATGTTTGGGCGTCGGTCCGTGCAGCGTCGGAGGTTGGATCCTCCGTTTCCGCTTCTGATGGGGAGACGGTAACAGTCTCGATGCGCACGGCGCACTGCTCAATGTTGAGAACACTGAGTCGCGGCAAGAGGTTGATGTTGGGCGGGTTCTCGGCCAAAGTCGACACTAAGACACTAACATTGTCGTCCCGCTCCTCGGCGCCTGGCTGCGTTCCGGATGCATCTGGAGGAAAAGGCAAGATGCATAAACACACGAGATTAATTAAGTTTGCGCCTCGGGTCATCCTCGCCTAAATGAATGAAGAGGTGAGGGGGACTGCCAAAACTTAGCAGCGAGAACGGGTGATAATGTCTACGCCGAGCGCGACCCGAACGATTCCCGAGCAAGAGTGGAGGGGGTGCTTCGGTGGCTTCGGTAGCCGCCTGGGCGAGTAGTGGGGGAGGTTAGGCAGCCGCCTAGCCGCCTATGTCCCCCCTCCCTCCACTCCAAACGAGCTAGGCGCGACCGTAGACGTTCGACCGTAGGCGGGCGGTCCGTCTCGGCCTTGGGGCGAACCTAGCGAGCCTAGGCGCGGCGCCTGGTGCTGACTCAACCTCACAACGTCCGCCGCAGTGTGTCCGCCGCTTCGTCTTTCAAAACGTGAGACGCGAGGAGGGGAGGGGCAAAGCGGCGCCGTCTGGGAGAAGGTAAAAGCCATAAAGCCATAAAGGCCATGTGGTGCAGGCGGAGAGGAGGGGAGCGCGGAATGCCCGGCCGGGTCACCCTACCTGCTAGAGTAGTTGGACAGTTGGACGTTTATACTTCTCAATAAGAATTTGCGACAACTATCCAACTATCCCTTCGCTTCTCCGACTCCGGCCGGGTATTCGGAAAAATGAACCTGGACCTGCCCGAACCTGGAGTGTGGAGTCCTTCTGGCGAGGCGGGGGTCACTGGATTCTGCAGTCCCCGCTCGGCCAAAGTGGCCATGCTCCAGCGCTGCTTGATCTCTTTGAGGCGAGCCTTGGCCTTGCACTTGGACCCGCACATGCAGTTGGCGTAGGGGCACCTCTTCCCGCTAACGTGGGTCGGGGCGTTGTGCCGCCGACACAGTTTGCAATTGAGTACCCCCAGCGGGGTACGCTCGGTCACCACGAACTGAGGCACTCTGCCTGTTCCGTCCCCGTGCTCCTCGTCGTCGTCATCGTCGGACAGCGTCAGCACGGGCACTGGAAAACGAGATGTGTCAAACGCGGCCCGGCCGATTGGACGTTGCGGGGAGGGAGCAGGGAGCGTGCCCGGGACTGGGACCAATGCCAATGCTTACCGACGGCGAGCTCAGAGTGGTCCTGCAGCAGCGCTGCTGGGGCTGTGGCCGCTGTGGCGGCCTGACCGCTGGTCGTCTGGTTGCTGCTGAGACTGGCAGCAGCTCGCTCTCGAGCCTTGCTTTCCATAAATCGCTTGAAGTAAATCCTGCGCAACACAAACGCGAATGACTCGACATGCTGACAGTAACCATGACCCAGACAGTGGCTACAGGGCGGTGGACGAACCTCTTTTCGATGCGACTCTTTGTGATGATGTCACATCCGGGGCAGTCGCAGCTCTCAAACGCACATCCCTCCTTCCGGTGGCGCGCCATGGGCGAGAGCACGCCGTGCACTTTGCACTTGCGGCAGGTGGCGGTGGCCCTCCCACACGTGGTCATGGCCGGTTGCCTGTCGTGCCCGTCGGGCGTGGATGTCATGCTGGCGACGCGCGCAGTGCAGACGGACGAAGCGATGCGCTCTCGACGGCGACGCCGGCTCAACTAACAACAAAACACTGGTAAGAAGCCTCCCGCCCCGCCGCGCCGTCGCCAGCCCGCCAGCCCGCCAGCCAGCTGCCAGTGGCTGCCAGCCTCCACAGCCCCTAACCGCCGGCCGCCAGTCAGTCAGCCAGCCAGCAGCGCCGCCGGCACCGCCCCTCGCCACCCTCGCCCTCCCTGCCCAGTATTTATGTGACGTTTCGAGGAAGAGAGGAATGCGGGGTGAGGAGATAGGCGGAGGGGACGATGAACGACGCCGTGCCCGCAGCCTGCAGCACAGACCATAAATGCCTTCGCCCTTCGTTTACGTCGTCTACACCGTAATACCCCCACCCCGTTTTCCTCACGCACGATGAACAGCCTCGCCCTCGGGTGGGATCTCTGATCCCGAAGCTGGAGGGTCGTTTATCGTTCTGGATCATTTCAACTTTCTGTTTTTCGCACCCCTACGGAACGCGCGACAGACAGCGACGATACGGTAGACGGTAATCGGCAACCCGCCGAGCCGAGCGGTTCCGCTCGCACTCAAGGAACTCTCCGTCAAGGTTCGAGAGAGACAGAGCGACCAACTGCTCTCCTGGATCACACGCTCGTGTTGAACCGATGTAACACACCGTCTACGAGCCGCGATGGGGGCATTGATCTACATTCCCGCCCAACGCTGTCCTTGCCGCTATCACTAGCGGTACTTCCCTCCCCTCCCCTCCCTTCGCGGCGCAGGGATAGGAGTGGGGGCGTCACGGGACAGGTCAGTCACTAGACCCACGGGCGGCGACAGCTACAGACATATTCAGTTGAGGATTTTCTGTTTTCACTCCCGGGGTGCGTGTGGATTCTACGCATCAAGAGGCGTGGATCCACGCCTGTCCGGGTGTGAAAACGCGTGCTCACGCCCGCCTCGCGCCTCCTTACTTGTTTCAGACGACGTTTCAGACGGCGAGGTGTGTCAGCGTGTTTTGTGTTTTCGTGAACGCTTTGCCTCGTGACCCGCCTGGACCCACCGGCAGCACCAGCTGCAGCCAGCTGACTGGAGCGGCACCTGTCTCTATCTCCGTCCAGTGCCGCCATCTCTCGGCCAGAGTTTGAACTAAGCCGAGGACCGGCGCCCGATCAGCTGTCATCTGTTCTGGTCCTGTGTTTATGATGATTAGCAGAAGACTTGCGCGCATACCTAACCTAGGCGTTGTGGGCGGGGAGCAGCGTTTTGCCGTTGCCGGAGTGAGAGGCGGACTTTCCGGACCGTCCGGACCCATGTCTTTCCGTGAATCGGAGCGATGGCGGTTTTTCCAGCACATCCTCGGCCTGGGGGGCGTGAGTGCCCGGCCAGCGAGCCACAGTTCCCCGTCCTCGCCAGGGACGTCTCGCTCGCTCTCGGAAGACGAGGGGTCAGGATACTTGTTTGGTGCAGGCGACAAGGCCAACAATTTCAGGAGAGAGAGCACCATCGACGACGAGGCCAAGGTGGTGGGTCTGCTCAAAGAGATCCTGGCCTATCAAGACACAAACATGAGCAACTGGATCATTGAGGTGAGACGGACACTTTGGTGTCTTCGGATGGTTTTTTTAATTTTCCCCTTCTCTATCCATAGGTTTTCTTTTTGTAGAGCAAAGTTAAGGCATTGTGTGCGGCATATTCCTATTTACTGAAGCCTCACAAAGAGGGATTCCTGAAAGTGTTGGCGTGCGAGTTTGCCGTTGACCACAATGTGGTCCGGAAAGCTGCTGAACAAATGGCCCAGCTACAGGTGTGTATCGAGTGTTTGTACATTTATCAATTTTTAATGCTGATTTATTTTAATGCTATGTCACTGTTTAGGAAGAGGAACATCTTGGGAAACTTTTTATGAAGCTCGAAGAGAAGTTGAAAAGTTCTCTCACCCCACAGTATTCATGGCTCTTTATGCATGTTGGTCGCTTAGAACGAGGGGTAAAATTCTTGGTGGATCTAAGAACAGATGTTCTGGTAAGTTTTTGAAAAATAGATTCACTAAAACCATTAATTTGGAGTATATTTGACACAATTTTATTACGAGCACTTTATTCGACAGGATCTATTATCGCAGCTAGAAGCCTTTGATCCAGCCCTGGTTCCAATGCAAAGACTAAACAGCACTCTTCGTGAATTGTTGTCAATGTGGTTTTCTGTTGGATTTCTTTCAGTAGAGAGAGTGACTTGGAAATCTTCTTGTGAAATGCTTCAGAAGGTAGGTCTTTATTATGCAATTCAATGGCTTATTTGGTGTTTTTGATACTTATTAAATGTATTGTTCAGATATCTGAATATGAAGCTGTACATCCTGTGCGGAGTTGGACTGACTTGAAGCGTCGAGTTGGATTATATAGAAGGTGCTTTGTGTACACACACAACAGTATGCCTGATGAACCTATTGTGGTGTTGCACATAGCATTGTGTGATGAAATTTCATCAAGTATGGCTGGGATAGTTGCTGCAGCCTCTCGTCTCTCTGGTAGGTGCATACAAGTAGGCATAATATTTCATTTCAAGATGACTGCAGTGCTGGCCCCTTAATTACTTTCATCTTTGTTCAGTTGATGCTTCCACGTCCGACATGGGTCTCCTTGGACTGAGATCTGAAACTGAGGACCCTTCTCTTGTAAAATCGGCTGTGTTTTATTCCATCACCTCTACTCAAAAAGGGCTTAAAGTAAGTTTAAAAGGAGCAAAAAAAGAATTTTAATTTTTGAAGCAACAAAATTTAAGTAAGTTAAATATAATTTTCTATATCAATAAACAATCATTAATTGTAGGGCATTGAACTTGGAAATTATTTAATCAAACGGGCTGCTCAAGAAGTCCAGGCTGAATTTCAACAAGTAACTCAGTTCTCAACTCTTTCACCTATACCTGGATTTAGATCCTGGCTCAATGATAAACTCAAAGCAGCTGATAGAGGTGATTTCCATTCAGAATTTTGATTTACAATTATTTTTTTTGGCATGAAAGAAAATTTTGACTGACTCAAAATTTTTTAGGTGAAAATGAAGTGCTGTCTCAGGAGGAAGATTTAGCCTTACAAAAGATACTAGGTCAAAATTGGCCTTCAGATCTTCAAAAACTTCTGAAATCCAATGCATGGTTGGAAAATGAAGAGTTAGTAGCTTTTTTGAAAGAACCACTCATGCGACTATGTGCTCGGTATCTTTATCTGGAAAAGCACAGGAGTGCAGCCCTTAATGGCGTTGGTGTGTATTTACATTTTAACCTATCCTGTTCTGTAGTTGTTTCATTCTTGAATCTGCTTTTGTAGTGTCCAATTATTTTTATTATTGAGAATTTGCATTGACTTGCTTATGTTTTACAGCTAATTTCCATTTGAAAAATGGAGCAGTCATGTGGCGTATAAATTGGCAAGCCGATTTGTCACCCAGAGGATTAGGAAATTCCTGTGGCATCATGGTTAACTATAGGTAAATATTGTTGTGCCAAAACTTTGCATTACCTATTTACAGTTTGGAAATGTTACTTAAGTGTTCTTTTCTAATTTTGAATTCATGTATTTTCAAACAGATACTATCTTGAAGATACCGAGAAAAACAGCCGTAACTACTTAGAACTTAATAAAATTAATGCTTCAGAGCAAGTTATGCAGCTAGCTGCCAGTGCCGAGCGTCTCTCAGTCCAGCTTCAGTCGAAGATGTGACACACAGCAAACACTGCATCCTGACAGTATCTTGAAATGAATGGATATTGATACTTGGGCAGGCAACAGTTTGCTTTGATAAAATGTCAGTTTGCTTCCTAAATGAATTGATAAATCAAAATGTTGTCATGTTGTTGCAGTCTCTCATAAGAGTTCAGGTCTTTATGTGAATAATAAGGGTAAAAATACGACTGCAAGCATATTATATTTTATAACGGCTGTGATATACCATTCAACACATATTTATTAATAGCATTTAGAATAATAGACTTTGCTGAGGCATTGCAGGTTGTATGGTTTGGTTTAGTCTCAAAGTTGAGTCATTGTGTTTGCTAAGTCATTTTTTCTGAGAATTTAGGTGGTTTTGGGAAGTTAAATATTTGTTAATGTTTATAGATCTCAATTCTCATGTAGTTCGTGACACCTTTTTAAAGATGAACTGTAAAGAAAACTTGCGTGACTTCCTATTTGTTTCTTGTTTGCCTTTTTAAACATTAATTTCAGTGACTGTTGTGCCTATTTTTGGCTCAGCTATCTGTGAATTTGTTATCAGTTTTGATTTTTTTAAGAATATAGAACATGTTTCAAGAAGGTTTCCTCGTTTGTTTGTTCCGCCACCCACCCCTATTTCAGAAATTGGACAAAATGTTTGCCTTTACAAGCCATCTCTACTATGATGTTACACCAGGCAAATTGCTAACAGACAATTTAATCTAAATGAAGAGGACAATATTACAATTTAATCTAAAAGAAGAGAAAAGTATTACCTTACAAAATTGCTAGTCAGTCTTATTTGCAATTGCAATCCATGTCGGTCGAAGTCCCCTGGGAAGTCCCAGGGGAGTCTGTGTGGAAGTGGACAGGGAAGTCCGAGCGAGGCGGGACTGCGGGTCCAGTGGAGCTCCACTCAAGACAGCGTCTCGTTGACCACGCTTCTGATCCAGTCGAGGTGCGCCGCCACGCGCGTGTACACCGAGGGGTAGTTGGACTGGCAGGGCTCGCCGTGGGTGATCGCGGTGGTGAAGAGGCCCACCACGACGGGCCTCTTCTTGGCGTCCCTCACCACAAGTGGCGCTCCGCCGTCGTCCTGACAGAACAGATAATGGTTGCAGACTTTTTTATTGTCGTTGCTTTCGACTGGTGATGACCGGTGATAACTCACTGCTTTCTTCTTTTTTTGTGACTTACGTCGCAGGGGCCCGAGCCCTTGGTGTCGGCGCAAATGTGGTTCGTCTTGAGCGAGCCGGTATGCTCGGACACGAATAAGCGGAGCCGGTAGCACGTCGGGAAGCTCATGACGGTGGTCGTCTCCCACTGCATGCGTTGCATGTCCCTGTAGCCGAACCCGTCTGTCCGCAATCACAAAGCGGGTTGAGTGAAGTAGATCGAGCCGCCCTTGTTGAAGCTGGTTGGCACGTTGGCAGGGTTGGTACTCACCAGTGAGGTGGTGCCCCCAGCCGCCGACGGTGGCGGCCATGCCGCTGTACCCCTTGTACCAGTTCTCCTCGGGCAGGTAGGCAACTTGCACGAAGTCTGCATGGCAACACACACTCGTTTGAAAGGAGCTACAAAATTGCACTGAAGCCTGCGCGCGTGCCCGTAGGCGTGGGAGACGCCATCACCTTCTGGCAGACATGGCAGGCGGGGAATCAAATGAATGCCTAAGTAATGCGTCCGTGTGGGGCGTCCGCTGAGGCGTCCGCTCAGGCGTCCGCGTGCTTCGCGATTCCGGGAAACGAGAAACTAGAAGCGCCACGGGTCGATGGGTTCAGATTCACAGACGTCGAACGTCGAACGACGGCGCTGTTACCGAGCAGGCTGCTGGTTTGAGAATCCAGCCCCTCCCCTCCCCTTCCGAACACGGGGCTGCACGCTGCGCTAGACAAAGGAAAGGGTGCCGTGCATCCCCACCCCACATTGATTCTTCGCCATCGTCCGTGATTATGCTGGTTGTTAGTTTGTCGTCTCAAGTGCCTGTCAGTTCGCCTTATCTGCTGCGGCTCGCCGCGGCACGCCAGCCGCGCAGTCCGCCGCCGCCAATTTCGAGTCTATTTATTTTGCTTCGATTTCTCGTCGGTTCGAAGTGCTGTCCTCACCGTTGAGCGTGGCGGGCCTGCTGAGCTGGACGAGCCCGATGTCGTTGAGGTGCGACTTGAGCCAGACCCACTGGCCGGGCCACTTGGGGTGCACGAACACGTTGAGGGCGGGGATGTCCTGGCGGGAGGCGTCCTGGCTGTCCCTGTCCACCACGCCCAGCGTCACCATCAAGCCCACGTAGCTGGAGACGGGGAAATAAATTAGCCACACCGCTCGGCTAGCCGATGAACACACAACACCCTCGACGTACTCGGCGACGCTGTCCGCGTTGGTGAGCACCCACTCGGGGTGGATGAGCACGCCCGTGCCGAAGTTGCGCAGAGGGTCCTCGTCGAGGCCGCGCGTCAGCACCTGGTACGGGAACTGGCCGGGGGCGGCGTCGTGGCCGCCGATGAGCGCATGCTGCACAGAGGGCGTCGTTAAGGCGTCGCTAAACGTCACCCAAGGGAACGGCACCGTGCCGTGGGGGCGAGTACCCAGTACCCACACTGGAATGCAGCAGAGACAGCAGCAGCGCCCACACCGCAGCTACCGCGGCCATGGCGACGAGAGAGAGATTGAGTGGGTTTGACGGTTTGACACACGCCCAGCAGGGGCTTGCGGGTACTTGTCTTTATCAGCCCGCTGCGCTCTGCGTGCTACGCTCGCTGCGCCCGGAGCGTGGCGAGCACGTCGCGCGCCACTTGATGCGGACCAGTCCGCTCCTTATCCTGAGACTTTATCCTGTACACTGATTTGCATCATCGCGCTTCGCGACAGTGTGACCAACACCCGCAAAGAGTGAGACACGACACGCGCGGTTTTGGCGCGGCGAGCGCCGTGTTCTGCCAACTGGAGGGCAGGGCTGGACGCAACGTGTCATTAGGGGCGAGGGGCGCCGGCACACTGCCTCTGTCGCTCTGCCTCTCTCGCACCCACACGGGGCGCCCCAGGAGCGCGAGAGAGACAGAGCGACGAAAACGACTCTCGGAACCAGTCTGCAGGGACGCCAGGGACGCGCCCTGTCGTCACGATGCATGGCAGGCGTGGCGCGGCCCGCAAGCCTGTGATTTTGCCAGCCGGGGCCCAGCCCCCTTCCCGCGCGGGCTAGGACTGCGGGGTGGCACCACTACCGCGTCGGCTGCACCGAGGGGCGGACAGCCTCACTATACTCACCATGAACCAGGCCCACGCGGGGTGGTTCCCGGCCGCGCCCGTGTCCGCCAAGCAGGCCATGGTCGGCTTGCACCCCAACGTGCCCACCCTCAGGGCTGTAAGTCACAGCCTCGGTGTGGTTTTGCAGTGTTGCTGCCGGTTCGCTAAGGTTTCCCTTTGACCCCATTCAAGCCGCCGTTGTTCGCCGGCAAGCCCAGCGCCGCGAAGGTCCCGGAGGCCGCCGCCGCGAAGGTCGCCGACGAGGCGGACGGAGTGCTGGCGCTCCCCGTGCTGCTCATGAAGTGCGTGTTTCTGTGGCCGGACTCGCAGAACGTGGTGACGCGCTTCATCGCCAACAGGATCTACCCCTTGAGCATCTCGGTGCTGATCCTGAGCAGCCTCGGCTACATCGTGGAGGGCAACTACGAGAGCGGCATGACGGCGCTCACCAACTTCGGCGACGCCCTGGCCAGCACCTCGTGCCTGCTCAAGCTGCTGCTGCTCTCGCGGGAGGGGCCGCAGGTAAACGCCCCACAGTGGGCCAGAAGACAGGCAGGGGCGGCCAAAATCCTGGGCGCGGTTTGAGCTCCACAGTAGCTAAATGGGACTTGAATCGAACGTGTGACCCCACCAATGGATTGCTCTCCCAACGGTCACACGCTCGGTTTGAGTCCCATTTAGCGACTCTGCAGCTCGAAACACGTCTAGAATTTTGGCCGCCTCCACCGGTCGTCTGGCCCACAGTGCACCCTCCACGCTTTCCGGGCCGTTCTTGACGCGCTGCCAACTCGTTCTCGGTCCACTTCTAGCTGGCGAGAATGCGGCGCCGCCTGCAGACCGACTTCGCGGCCATGGAGGGCCTGGCCGAGCCCGAGGCGTCGGCGGCCAACGCCCACTGCACGCGGCGGTGCCGCACCATCTCGCTGCGCTTCATGTTGTTCTACGTGCCGCTGTGCTCCAGCGCCGTGGGCGTCATCATCCTCAACGCCTTCAACCCGCCGGAGAAGCGGAAACTCACTTTCGACGTGCCGCGCATCCTGGTCGTCAACGACTTCTTGTACTACCCGCTCGTCTCGCTCGCCGTCATGGCCTGCACCACCTTCTACTTTTACAGCGGTGAGCACCTGGAGGACGGCCGGGACGGCCTTCCGAAGAGTCTCTCTCGCACCTCTACGGATCGCCGCATGAGTGCGACGGAGACAGGGCGACGAAGAGACTCTTCGGAATGGACCTGCAAAGCCACATGGTGCTTGCAGTGGGCTACGACGCGCTGTACCTGTCGCTGTGCAAGCACATGAGCTGCAAGTGCGACATCCTGACGCTGATGCTGCGCCGCGCCGGCCAGCGCGCCGCGCAGCGCCCCAGCGCCGAGGCCGCGAGCACCAGGGCGGTAAGCACCGCCAGCAGGCCGAGTCCACGCACAGCGTCGCGTCGCTGCGTCTCTCTTGCCCATCACGAGTGTGAGAGAGACGGAGCGACGACGGCGCAGTTCGGAGCAGCACGCACCGCTTGCTCGTGCAGGACGCGAAGCAGTACAACTTCGAGTACTGGAAGGACGACGGGTCCGCGATGGAGGCCGGCTCCAGGAACGGCCGCAGGGACGAGGTGCAGGAGAACCTGCGGACGTGCGTGCTGTACCACAACATGATCATCAGGCTGCGCGACGAGGCCGAGAGCATCTTCGCGGGGGTGTCGCTCTTCCAGATGGGCTACATCTTGCTGGGCCTAGGCATCCCGGGGCTGCGGCTGCTTCGCGAGGTACTCGACTCGCAGAGTGGACACTCGCAGGCACGGGTACAGTCACCAAAGAAAATGTTGTGCCGCAGGCCTCTTTCAAGCCGATGGACGTCATGTTCCTGGCGTTCTACGCGGGCTGGAACTTCTCCCAGCTCCTGTTTTACTGCTGGTTCGCGGACGAGTTGGCCGGGGCGGTGAGAAGTGCGAGCGTGATTACTCCAGAGAAACGATGCCCAATTGGGGTTTCAAAAAACTCTTTTGTTCGCACGGCGGCACGGCGGCACGGCGGCATGGCGGCACAGTCCGGGAGAGTGGGGGTGGCCGCGCTCGCCGCCATGCGCCCCGCCGAGATGGACGACGACGTCGACGACGAGCATCCCGCAGCACGACGAGACCGACGAGACCCCGCCATGGTGAACCTGAGCAAGGCGGCCGGCACCACGCTCAGGCTCATCATGATGCGCGCGCAGCACCCGCTGTACCTCACCGCCGGCAACTTCGCCAACATCACCCTGGAGCTGTACCTCACCGTGAGCAGCTCGGACGCGCTTCTGTCACAGTGGCGCGCGCGGAAATTTTGAAAGGGATGGGGTCAAACCACGCCTTTTGCCCACCTTCAGGCGGAATGTGTCGCAATTTGCTTACATCGCAGACAGCTGTCTAGTGCCAAACGGGCGGTCATGAGCCCCGGGGGGCTGACCTCCCCCTTACGCACTGTTCTGCCTCTGTTCTGTCATTTCTGTTTCCGCCAAAGTGCAACAAGCGAGGAGGGAACAAAATTGGAACCATTATGGCAGAAATAAGTCGTGTGTGTCTACGCAGGGTAGGGTGACTGCAGATAGCGCGATATATAGTAGGATCCTAACATGCGCAGTCGTGGATTCTCGAGTCCGCGATGAGAAACCACAACTTTTTAATGTTCTTTGTGAGAAAGGGGGAAATGGCTGTCGGTTTGCGGACGCGGCCTCGCCCTATTCTCTCTCTACAATTCGGGATTGAGCTTCGACGAACCGGTCCGGTGCCCCAGACGGCTCTGACGGCCAATCATCGATATCAAAGAATGCGGTGCTGACCTGCAGCACCGAATCCATCTCGACCATCCCCGGAGTAGTTGTCCGTGAACTGCGAGGTGAACTTGTTTTTCTTTTTCAGATAATAAGGAAATCCCAGTCCATTTACTCGTACCTAATTCGGATGAGGTAGTCCAGGCCCCCGGCTCATCCTCCCGGCCTCCAGATAGTGGCTCCGCTCGGCCAGTAGAATAAATTTCATACGAATAACGCTTACGAATCTACATTTATTCCGATGCTCCATCAACTCGTTTTCAACGTCGTCAAGGGAAAAAAAACCTACACACAGTATCACAACAAAGACGTTAGAAGAATGGTGTCTTTTATACACAAGTGAGGGCCTTAACATGTTTATTTTTAAAATCACAGAGATAGCTCACTATCATGGAAACGAAATTGGCGCCCGTCGAGACACGCAAAAACTATGCAAATTACGGTTTTGGTTTGACGCGCGGCGGCGACTGGAGTCGCTTGTTTGGACCACAGTCGACTAACGACGGGTTCCTTTATGTCCATCAGTCTTCCCTAGGGGGCGGCTAAACTTGATTTTCGGCTTCGGCCGGCGAGCTGGAGCCTTGGCTGGAGCCTGGAGTCCGAGGCTCGCTGCGAACACGTGCCGCCCTCCCCTACACGTAGGCGTACTCCCAGGGCACCAGGTCCGAGATGTTGGTCAGGATGCTCTTGAACACCTCGGCGACGGCGTCCGCGATGGTGGGTCCGATCTCCTGCGTCACTTCGCGCCAGTTCTCGTTGATGAAGCGGTTCATGTTTTCGCCTGCGGGCAAAATCACAGCTGTAAAACTTGACCCGGACACAACGCCTCCACCACCGCTCTGTCTCTGTCGCGCTCATGGGTCGTTCCGCAGGGGTGCGAGAGAGATAGAGCGGCGGAGCGCCTCGTCTGAATAGAGTGGCAGGACACGGCGGCGGCTGTTTCGACTGGCACGCGCGGCAGTCCGGTTCCCACGGTCTGCAGACTGACTCCGAGAGTCGGTTTCGTCGCTCTGTCTCTCTCGCACCCATGCGGGACGGCCCATGAGCGCGACAGAGACAGAGCGACGAAAACGACTCTCGGAATCAGTCTGCTGAGTAAAAGATGCAGCCCACCGCCTCGCTGCGTTCGTGCGTCGCGCGTCGCGTGCCTCCGCACGGGCGCGATGCGCGGCGGGGGCGGGCCGGGGCAGGCCCGGCAGGCCGGCTCGGCAGGCCGGGGCGTCGCCAGGCGTCGTCGTGAGTTTGATGAGCTGGTTGACGGGCCGGACAAGGCGGCACAAGGCCACCGCGAAAATAGAGCCCGAGCGAACCTTTTCGGAAACCGCAGGCCGCAGGACGTTCGCGACGGTCACGTCGCGACCACTCGTAAAACACTCACCCAGCAGCTTGTCGCCGTTGAAGAGGTTCTCCAGGCGCACGTACACCCGGGTGGTGTCGAAGCTCAGGTTGCTGGACACCACCTTCATGTAGTCGCGGCCGTCGGCGCGCTTGTACAGGTCAAAGTCGAACGTGTAGTTGAACTTGCAGTTCTCTGCAACATTCCGACATGGCGCGATTAGCAGTGGCGGTGCAGGCACGCTGCGACGGTCGGCGTGGTCGCCATGGGGCAGCCTGGGACAACGGACAACGTCCTTGCGTTTCAAATTTACAGCCAATCTTGTCCCCCCTCCCCGTCTCCCTCGAGTCCCGCCATGGTGCCAGGTCCGGTCGGCCCGGTCGCCAGGAGGACGCAGGGGTCCGCACTCCTGCAGTTCCTCCCAAAATGCACGCAAAGGTGAACGAACTTTCCTCCACACTCTAAAATATTTCATTACGTTCCATTTTACACGGCTTTTGGTCTACTTTGATGCTCTGTATGCACTAAAACTCGGAGTTCCACGTGCACGCTCGACTTGACAGTGTGCTTCCCGTGGAGCAACCCCAGGGCGGCGAGGCGGCCAGGCGGCGAGGCCACCCGGGTGCACTTGCTGCTGGACCTGTCGCCGCTGCAAGCTGCAACGCACTGCAACGCGCGAGTCACTGCGCCACTCTGTCTCTCTCGCACTCATGGGGCCTCCCGTCAGGGTGCGAGAGAGACAGAGCGACGAAAGCAGTGTCCGAGCGGCGCAGTAGCCTGCCAATGGACGACGGGACGGTCTTGCCAACAGGTGCCGGGTACCAAGTCCCGGCGCTCTGCCGGCTGCCTGCTTCGCGCTGCTTTGCCACGTGCGTCGGCCGTCGGCCGTGGGGCGTCTTCCTTGTGTCCAGCACCACCTGCAACCGGCTGTCCTTCTCGCGCCCCTGCACTGTGGGCTAGAAGACCGGTGGAGGCGGCCAAAATTCTAGACGCGTTTTGAGCTCCAGAGTCGCTAAACAGGACTCAAACCGAACGTGTGACCCCAGCAATGGATTCCTCGTTCGGAGAGCAATCCATTGGTGGGGTCATTTGTTCGGTCCGAGTCCCATTTAGCGTCTCTGGAGGTCAAAACGCGTCTAGAGTTTTAGCCGCCTCCACCGGTCTTCTGGCAAATCCACTGTGCGCAGGCCGCGCTGCACGGCGCTGCACTCACTGAGCGTGATGTTGGCGGGGCCCGTGCCGGTGATGGGCAGGATGAGCACGTTGCCGGTCACGTTGTAGATGCCGCCGATCTCCACGGTCTTGCCGAACAGGTTCCACTCGATGTGCTTGCCCTTCAGGTCCACCCTGCAGAGCAAGGGCAGCGGTTTGTCAACCCGATTCTCGCCAATTTGCAACCGCATAAACATTCGCAACAGGAGAACTTGGCACTTACTTGGCGGACTGGAACTCCATTTCGGGCAGGCCGAAGACCTGGGCCTCCTTCATGTGGATTTTGAGTCCCACCGACCTCGTGCCCTGGGTCACCCGGAAGTCGTACACTGTCAGCGGGTTCAGGTTCGGGATCTTGTACTTTCGGTCACCTGTCAGGACACACGTATGCACAGGTAGCTGAGGTTCGGGTTGGCATTGGGTTCCCGAACGCGCCAACCGTTGTCGGGTCTGGCCGAGGGGCAGGGCTGGGCTGGCGGACGGCAGCCCAAGTTCAGGGGCAGCCACTCTCGCGCCGCGCCGTGGCCGAAGAAGGCGCCGAAGGCAGCCGGCTGCAGCGGTTTGTCCGGAGGCGGGCAAAGCCAAGGCAAAGCCAAGGCAAAGCCCAGGCGAAGCCTCGCGCGCAAAACCGAAGGCCTTCGGCATGCCTTCGGAGCGCCTTACGAGGGCGGGGTAGGCAGCACCGCGACACTCCGGTGCGTGGAGCGCTGGCGGGCGGCCTACGCTGCTGGGCGCTCCACCGCCACGAGGTTGCCGACAACGAAAGCCGACTGGCTGACTCCGCCTTCGCCTTCGCCGGCTGGCCGGTCGGCTGGCCAGACACTTACCGTTGATGAAGTGGGGGATGGCCGCCCTCCCGGCCTTGACCACGCAGTCGTTGAGGTTGGGGTCGTCCTTCTTGCAGGCCGTGATGTACGAGGCTGTAACACGTTCATGTTGTTGCAGTTTGAGGGGGACCGGACCGGCCGAGGGACTGGCCGGGCCGATGGGCCGATTACAGGGTACCGGGTCCAGGCCTGGGCGATGCCGGCGATGCACTGGTGCCGGCTGGGCTGGGCCGGGCCCTTGGCCGGGCCGCGGCGTCTGCATTTTGTGTACTCAAAACCGGAACGGGGAAAAAATGCAGGCTCTGGCTTCGCCGGCTCTGCAGGCTCATTCCAAAACGCCGCTTGGTCCCTCCGTCTCTCTCGCACCCCCACGGAACGCCTCGGCACGCCCCGTGAGTGCGAGAGAGACAGAGCGACCGAGGAATGAGCCTGCTGCCACCAAGGTCGGGGACAGGAACGGGACGGCTTCGGTAACCTTTTATTATTATTCATAGGACCGGCCGGTCCAGACGACCGGTAGACGGCGAGAGAGGCTGCGGATGCGGACATTTCAGCCGCGAATCCGTGATGAGCTGCAGGTCAGTAGTGCGGCCTGCGGCGGCGCGGCGGCGCGCCGCTACCGGTGTACCGCACCGCCTGCACTTGCACTCTCCGTCCTGAGTCAAGCAGCCAAGCGTGATGCAACCCAGCCTCGGGACCATATTCCAAGTGCGACCAGTGTACCCATTTTCAAATGATGCTACTTGACCAACACAGATTAATCTTGTCGTTCTCGACATTTCTACGGCCATCTTTATTCACGCAAACAATCCAGTGTCCAGTTTCATTGTACATTGAGGACAAAAACACGCGTGTAGACGTTCCACAACACTCGTAAAAAAAGATTTTTTTTTTTCAAAAAAAAAAAGAAAAGAATAACCCATAACTAAAAGGTTTGACTAAAACATCCCCATTTACTTGCTTTTCAACTGAAAAAAAAAAACTTGTTTTTGAAAACAAAATAAAAATTATGCGCCACATGCAAAAAAGTGGCACGAAACTTTTAAATTTTAAAAGAGGTTCTTTCCTTCAGGATTGAAGTGTCACTGAAAGCACCTTGTGTTCCGCGCCTACATCGACCGTCACCCTCCGGACGTCGCCGTCGGTACTGTCCCCGTTGGCGTACTCACGCATCTTGAGGGCGTCTGCGGTGCCGGGCAGCCCCACGAGGGCCACGACGGCGGCGAGACCCAGCAGGGCGGCGGCGCTCCACGGAGTCATGGCGAACGGGGACCTGACGGGGAGGGTCGGGCTTGGGCTTTTTCGGCTCGGCTTGGCAGACGGTCGGGACGGGTTGGCCAGGCCGTGCGTTCGCGGCGCTGCTCGGCACAACACTGCGCCGCCGGGACACCCGCTCACCGACCAAGAGGACTGGAGTCCGGCTGGACGCGGCCTGGACACGGCCTGGACACGGCGTACCGCGGCGGACCACAATGAAATAAGACGCAGCCGGCTTCTCCGCCTTTTTATTTATAACGCCACGGCGGACGACGGTGCGCACACATACGCCATCTCCACTCACACACACACTGACGCCGGACGCCGGCTTCGCGGCCTTGCACGCGGGCTCCTCCGTCTGTGTGTTTTCCCTGCTCAGTGCGTGTGTATGTGTGTGTGTGGTTGTTGCGGTTATACAAGATTCTATAGTGAGCGCGCGCGAGTGTGTGTGTGTGCGTAGGGTAGGGGGAGAGGGGAGGGGAATCGATTGATTATGTGTAAACATAGGGTTGGAGACGCATCGGGTGCAAACATATTCAGTAATCAGTTCTGCCTTGAGACGTTCTAGTCGAATGCGTCACCTGCCTTGTTTTAAAATTGAGGCGTCGAGGAGTCCGGGCTCAACGAAGGGCGACAACTAACAGTCGAATGGGGCGGCCCGCGGGTGGGGGGACTCTTTCCTCTACCGATTTGTTTAAGACATTCCGGACCGGTATAATTGAGCTCTGTGACGTTTCCGAGTACCGTGTTGTAGCGGCGGATGTGCCTAAAAGATGAAAACGGTTAGCATCGCGCGAATAAGCCACTTCATTCAAGCCCGGCCGCAAGTCCCCGCCGCCCTCCTTTCCCGCCTCGGCCGTTCAGAGGTTCGCGCCGAAAACGAAAATGAATGTACGCGCCCGCCTCGCAGGGTCAACATCATCTCCCGCCGGGAATACTGTCGATTTTCGTCTTTTTTTTGTGGGTCTTGAAGAAATGCATATTCAAAAACCTGCACAGGCCCGTGACGACCCCAAGGCCACGCCTCGTGGAATTTTCCATCCCTTCCCTGATTCCCCGGAGCGAAATGGATTCCCTGCGTCGGAGGCCCTCCAACGGGACTGGCAACGTCCAACGTCCTTAGTCGCACTGCCAGGACAGAAGCGCGGAAAGGGTCCCTGCACCACTGCAAGACTACTTGTCCGCACTCCGCCACGCACAGATGAGCGCGTGCTATTGAACAGTGGCGCTGCTTGGGGATCCAGTCAGGTGTGCCAACATTGGCTCCCTGACACTCGTTTTGCACTCTCGTTCCTTTTGCTCCACCGTCTTCCGTTCTTGATTGTGTGTCATTTTATTGCGTGTCTCGTAAAAAGTAGCCTCTTTTTCTTGGTCGCCTTCATTAAAGTTTGGCGAGTTTGTTGGAAACTTTGTCATCCTCCCGAAGGCACACAACATTTGTTTACATGATACACACATGACAGAAGACTAGCAGAAAGCAAACTAGGTTAGGGGCGTTTATTTTGTTTCCTGTGTAGTTTAGATCCTTTTTGAGGGTGGGAGCGTTCGACGATCTTTGACAGCCCCCAGCTTTAGGTTTAAGATTGGTGAGCAGACACGTTGTGATGCGGGTGCACCGCAAAATAGTGCTGCCCGTCACATCTCGGGGTTGTTGACACTTCCATTCAACATCCTTGTCTGCTGTTCAAATTCAAGAATTAAGGTGAATATGCTGCAGTTCATGTCCTTTCTCCATTTTATCTTGTGACTTTGATCGCACTGCTGCTGTGGGCGATCGTTCCTGTATCTTTGTTTTTGAATTTGCATTTACTATTTACTACTGTTTGGCTGTCATTCAAGGCGCACAATGGCTGGCAATGCTGGCCCTGCTGGCCCTGCTGGCCAGACACAGAGTGATGTAGCCACTGCTCCTGCTAATGAGGAGACTCAAGATGCCAGGTATGTACATCACATCATTGGTGCCTATTCGAATTTTGAAAAACATAAAATTATCTTAATGGTTTGTCCAGGAGTGAACCATCAGTCCTTGCCGCTCGTGACACATGCAGCGAATACAGCTTATCGAGTATGTCAGCCCAAAGCACTGGAGAGGAGTGCTTCCGTTCTCCATGCCATGCCGAAAGTAGTATGGCCCGCATGGAATCATATTTACAGCTTAACCAACTCACTGACGTAATCCTTGTTGCTGGTACGTCCTTGTCAATTTGCAGTTTTCAACATATTATCGTTTCATAACCAATTTACTAATTTTTTACAACTTAATATTTGTCTATTACAGGAAGCAAGCGTATTCCTGCTCATCGTCTGATATTGTGCGCTGGCTCAGAATATTTCTCTGCTATGTTTACTAGTGGCCTACGAGAAACAAATCAAAGTGAAGTGGAATTGCAATTTGTTGATGGCAATGCTCTCAGTTCATTGGTTCAATATTGTTATACAGGCATGTCAAATTTATATTCAGTTTGAGCTGGATTCTTCATTAGGTCTGGTATGTCTTAAATCCTAATAATTTTTCAGGTCGTGTGGAGCTGCGGGAGGACACTGTAGAAACTCTACTGGCAACAGCTTGTCTCCTTCAATTGCCGGCTGTTGTAGCGGCATGCTGTGCTTTCCTCAAACGACAGCTTCATCCTTCCAACTGTATTGGAATTTCTTTGTTTGCGGACCAGCAGGGATGCGTGGATCTACAGTTAGCAGCTTATGCATACACCACAGTTAGTTTTTAAAATGAAGTTGCAAGAAGCTAGCATCTCATTGTGGTTTTTCTATAAAATTTGATTTTTTGTTTTGTTTCAGGAACACTTTATGGAAGTGGTCTGTAACCAAGAGTTCTTACAATTGTCTGCTGAGGAGGTTGCAAAACTTCTTGCATCTGATGATCTTAATGTTCCATCTGAAGAGGCAGTTTTCCTTGTATGTCTTGGTGGGATCTCTTAGCCTCTATATGAATTTGAATGCCTTGATTATTTATTCACGATTTGTTCCAGGCTCTCATGGGATGGGTTAAGCATGATTTAACCAACCGAAAGAATGACTTAGTTCTGGCTAACTTACTTGGTCTTGTGAAAATGCCTCTCCTTCCACCATCAGTGAGGACTATTGTTTTATTGAACTGTTAATCATTGTTATATTCTGTATGACACAGTCTCTTTCTCTTTTAAAGTTTATCGCTGACCACATTGAGACAAACCCACTGTTCAAAGATGTTCGGGCTTGCCAAGACCTCATAATGGAAGCTTTGAAGTACCATCTTCTCCCTGAGAGAAGGCCTCTCCTCCAATCTCCCAGAACCCACCCTCGTAAATCAACTGTTGGCTTTTTGTATGCCATCGGGGGAATGTATGCTAAAAAGGGTAAGTACATAATGGAACAATGATGAAAAAATATTGAAAATTATAAATTTTTCTCTTTTCCAAATTTATACTTATTTTTTAAAAATTTGTTCCAGGTGCCACTAACATTGAGAGATACAACTTAAGGTCAGACTCGTGGCATCATGTCGATGAAATGAATGGACGGCGTTTGCAGTTTGGTGTTGCTGTTGTAGATGGCAAAATATTTGTTGTGGGTGGAAGGGATGGGCTAAAGACTCTAAATACTGTGGAGTACTATGACCCAGCCACTAAGACATGGATATTTTTACCCCCAATGTCCACCCATCGGCATGGTCTAGGTGCTTACATTTATCAAACTTTGCTTCACCTGTCTAATTGCTTTTTCTGTAATCGTGATTTTGCTCTGTCCAGGTGTGGGAGTTCTTGAAGGACCTCTCTATGCTGTGGGTGGCCATGATGGATGGAGTTATCTTAATACAGTTGAGAGGTGGGACCCACAGTCATCTCAGTGGAGCTATGTTGCTCCTATGGCATACCAAAGATCTACTGTTGGAGTTGCAGTTCTAAACAACAAGTAAAAAGATTTTTTCACCGTTACTTATGTCTATTTATGTATTTAGTTTTATTCAGAAGTTTCTAAATACGGAACTCATTACATCACAGGTTATATGCAGTTGGAGGCCGAGATGGGTCTTCTTGTTTGCGATCAGTGGAGTGCTATGACCCTCACACAAATAAATGGATGCCATGTTCACCCATGTTGAAAAGACGTGGTGGAGTGGGAGTTGGTGTTGCAAATGGCTACTTGTATGCAATGGGAGGTCATGATGCTCCTGCCTCAAATCCATCAGCGTCTCGATTTGATTGTGTTGAGAGGTGATTATCGCAACATGTAAACTCTGTAATGAGTCTGCCTGGAAATTAAATTTTTAATCTGTCTTTTAAATGATTTAGGTATGATCCGAAGACTGACACCTGGACAATGGTTGCGTCAATGAGCCATGGCAAAGATGGCATTGGAGTGGTTCTCTTTGGTGACAAGCTGTTTTGTGTTGGAGGCTATGACGGCCAACACTACAAAACACTAGTAGAAGTTTATGACCCTCAAACAAATGAGTGGACACAGGTAAAGCAGCAGTGCGATAAGAAAGAGCATGGAAATATTGATCTAACATGGACAATTTTCACCTAATTTTGTCTTTTTTGTGTTTGCAGGCTGCTCCTCTCAACACAGGTCGGGCTGGAACTTGCCTTGTAGTTCTGAAAAATTAATGTTTTCCTGGTGATTTTAACAAGCTGGTAATTAGAGCATAGAAAGAAGCATTACAATTTCTGTTTTAAATGTTTTGTTTTTGTGTTTTGAAGTATAACTACTCCTTGAATCATTCCTATGATTGTAGTAAAAATTTGATTGGGTAGAAAAATTCACTGGTTTTGGTTTATGGTTTCTGTTCCATTTATAGTAGTTGTTCCATAAAATTGTATTCCACCTAACTTAGCTACATTCCTTTAATGTTGTTGGTTGCAACAGGAATCTTTTCTATGTTTTTTGATTGTTTTTTATTTTTTTGTGTATGTGTGTTTTTACACTGGCTGTATTCCATGATCTGTTTAGACAATTAAGTTAGAATCTTGTGGAAATAAGTTGTGGTTTATACTCAAGACTTTCTATTTCTAGCAGATTCAAAAGTCAGTATATATGTAAACTGTGATTTTAAAATAGTTCAACTGCTTTATTTTTAGGTGTGCGCATTGCTTATGTGCAATCTTTGTTTTAAAATAAGATGACTGAGGCATTGCCTCCAACAGCCTCGCAAGCTGATCATATTCACCAATAAACTAGAACCACACTCTTTAGAGTATTAACATTGCACTTTGTAGAATTACACAATTGCTCTTTGTTCGTAGATTAGAGATAAAGGTGAATTTCAACTACAATTTTTTTCCATAGATTACATATGTGCGTATGTAAAATGCTTGTGGGCCATGTAACATGTTTTGCAACCGTGATCTTTGTACTGAAAACCAACAAGAGTGTCATTGTACACTTTTGTTATATCATACTACATTGGACCAAATTATTAAAAAAAAATTCATATCTGTTCCTACATATGTAACAGCAATAGTTTGAATCTGACAATGCTCATTGTGTTCATAAAATAAAAACTTGTGAGTTGGTTTAAAAAAAAATCATTTGTTACTGGGATTTTAAGTTTAATTTGTTGGTATGTGTAAGTTAGTTTGAAGCAGCCCCCTTTAATCCTCATCTTGGTGTTAATGCATCCATTGTATTTCTGGGACTGTTCATATCTGTTCACTGTGATTATTTTTGATTTTTTTTATTAACTAAATTAAAGATGGAAGCTGTAGAATGTGAAGTATGTTGTTTCTCATTTCTTAGGTCAGGTCCCTTGATCAATTCCTTATGGTATCACGACTCTTAAAGTTAGGCAACACTACAGAACAATACATTACATTAAATTAAATACATTACATGACAGATTGAAGTTCTCACATTCGGGCTCTTCACCCCGAAATGGCATACGATCATGTGTGGTCTAGCCTTTAATGGTAATGGCAATGATGGGTATGCACTCCCGCAACGCCGCACTGTTCGGCGGGTCTGCCTACCCCGTGTTTCGCAGGCGCTTCGCCCCGCTTGAGGCGGCCACTGCACTAGGAACGAAGGGTGGACAGGAAGGTCTGGCACGCGCCCTCCGAAGGCAGGCACTGGCCGAAGGCCTCCAGCAAGAGGGGCTCGTCCTTGACGGCCGACTGGAAGTCCTTGAAGGACACCTTGCCGTCCTTGTCGTAGTCCAGCTTCTTGAGCGCCAGCTCCACGAGGTCCTTGACGCCCTCGTCCGGGTCGTCATCCTGAGGCTGCTTCACGAGGCAGTTCCTGTGGCACAGAGTGACGAGTTGATCTCGTCTTTACGCGAAACGCGCGAGGACAAAAGCCATCGGGGCACCGGGAGTCGAACCCAGGGCGCAAGCCCACGGGTTTACCTCAGCAGGTGGAACATCTCCTCGCGGCTGATGAAGCCGTCGCTGTTGAGGTCGTAGACGCGGAAGCAGAAGGCCATGCGCTCCTCGGTGTCCCCCTTGATGAAGACGGACAGCCCGCACACCCACTCGTCCATCCGGATGACGCCGTCGTTGCAGCGGTCGAAGGCGCAGAAGATGCGGTCCATCAGCACCTCCTCCGTCACCATGTCGAACGTGTTGTGCAGCAGCTCCCTGAACACCACTCGGTCCAGGCCCTGCAGCGCATGCGCGTACCGAGTTACCAAAGTAAATAATCGAAAAATTGTCTGTTCCCGGCTCCCTGTTGGTCGGCGCGGCGACTCACCTCCGTGACCACGGCCGAGTTGGGGGAGGGCAGCACGGCCGCGGCGGGGTTCCCGTTGTGCGCCGCGGCGCCGGAGTTGTGCGCGTGGCTGGTGGCCACCAGCTTGCGGTACACCCTGCACAGCGAGTCGATCTCCTCCCTGCGCAGTGCCACAAGTTGCACAGGTGCGGAGTTAAATTGTCAGCACGGCACCGGCACCCCGCACCGCCACTCACTTGGAGAAGTGCGTCTTCCGCTTGAAGTACTCCATGAGCTTGGCCGACGTCTTGCCGTTGTTGCTGTTGCTCTGCTGCTGGGCCCTGGTGCGGCCGCCGCCGCCGGCCCCGCCCCCGGCGCCACTGCCGTCGCGGCTGCCCTCGTCCATGGCCGCCGCCGCCCCCGGGCAGCCCCGCCCCCGGCACCGCCGCACGCGCCCGCGTCCGGACTCAGCCCCTGCATGCAGGAAGTGCAGAGCAATCAGAATGAGGCCCGCCGCCGCGCCGCTCCGCTCCGCCGCCCCGCCACTGCAGAAGCGGCGCCGCCAACCAGGGTCGCATTGCAGCCCCGCCACCCTGATGCTGGCCGTGGCCCTGGCGCCCCCTGGGGTCTCTGAGGCCCAAGTCGAAAGCAATGCCTCGCCAGTAGACAAAAATTCCAACGGTACATCAGGGTTGCCAATCTCAGCCTGCCTGCTAGGCAGGAGAGTACCTTGGCTTTGCTCTCGAGCTAGGCAGGCTGACGTGGGCGACCAGCGCGGGAATTTTTGTCCAGGGTGTGTCGTATGTTTCTCCGCGGCGGCCGCAGCGGCACCCCATCGCATCGCCTCCCGTAATGCCGATGTTGCCGGAGTCATTGATCGCAATTTCCGAAAGTTGGATTTCCGCTGGGGATGCCCCGCGCCGGAACAAGGAAAAGATTGAACCCCCCCTCCCCCCGCGGACGAAACACAAAGGCACCGGGGCTCCGCCGCCATTGGGCCCGGTGCGCGGCTCCGCGGCACGGCGGCGCGCGCGGAATGGGACAAGACGGATGACTTTCTTTCGTGTGCGCGGCGCGGTCCTCCCTGCGGACTGATTCCGAGGGTTGTTTTCGTCGCTCTGTCTCTCTCGCACCTATAGAGGATGTACCATAGGTGCGAGAGAGACGGAACGACGAGTCGGCTGGTCTTCCCCCGGAGCCGAGTTACTTTGCCGTCGTTGACGTTGCTACGCTGCATGTCGTTGTTCTTTTTCCCGTCTTTCTCGTCTCGTAGGGCGTATTGGCGCGACCCGGCCGATGCACAGTGGGCCAGAAGACCAGCCGAACCGGGCCGGCGCCAGACAACACAACAACAGCGAAGCGACTTCTGTCCGCTCTATTTCTCTGTTTTCCGATGAGCAGCTGCCAACTCGACATGTTCGCTTCTCACGCGAATGTCTCCCTTTTTCCGTCACGCCCTTCCTTTCCATTCCATTCCCTTCCATTCCATTCCGCCACGTGCACCCCGCGTACTCCTGCCGCACTCTATTTCGTTCGGCCATGGTGCACAGTGTGCCAGAAGACCGGTGCAGCTGGCCAAAATTCTAGACGCGTTTTGAGCTCCAGAGTCGCTAAACAGGACTCGAACCGAACAGGTGACCCCACCAATAGATTGCCCTCCCAACGAGGAATCCATCGGTGGGGTCACACGTTCAGTTCGAGTCTCATTTAGCGACTCTGGAGCTCAAAACGCGTCTAGAATTTTGGCCGCCCCCACCGGTCTTCTGGCCTACTGTGATGGCAGGCTGATGCCGAGAACCGCGTCGTCGCAGTCTCCCTCGCCCCCTTCAGGGAGGCCCCATGAGAGCGCGAGGGAGACAGAGCGACGAGAGCTCTGCTGATGACGTTTGTCGTCTCCGCGATTCCCATTTCGATTGTTCGCTTCGCGTCTACCTCAGATTACGGTTCTCGGGCTCGCGCTATTTTCATTCAAGTCATCGGCACCGCCACGGCCGCGCGCTCCAAGACGCGTCGCTTGAAAACAACACGCCGACGCCGCGACGCGGCAGTCTCTCTCGCGCCCAGACGAGACGCCCTATGAGTGCGAGAGAGACAGAGCGACGAAAACGACTCTCGGAATAAGTCTCAAGCCCACGACATGGCCCTCACGCTCGCGAGGGAGAGTCGAGCCGAGTCGAGGTTGTCACAAAATGCAGATTTCTTTCTGTTTTTACGAGTGGAGGGACTGCGACGAGCGCGCCCTCGAGGAAGCCGCGACACGCGACACGTATGCAATCAGCCGCCCGCCCCGCACGCCGACCTGCTGACTGTCGTTTTCGTCGCTCTGTCTCTCTCGCACCTGTAAGGACGCCCCATGAGTGCGAGAGAGACAGAGCGACGAAAACGATCTCGGAATCAGTCTGCCGGCCGAGCTGGCCGAGCACGCGACGGGGTGGCGACGACGCGGGGCGACACACGGGGACGCCCGGAGACACGCAGCAAGTGTGGAAAGGGCACACAAGCAGACAGACGAGTCCAGAAGAAAAAAAATCTTGGTTTTGAATCGAGCCGGGAATCCCACCTGGTGTCAATACAAGCCGAGCCGACGTCTCGCGGTGATAAGATTAAGACGCAATGAGAAATAAAGTGCTCGCTGCTCGCGCGAAGCACGCGAAGGCAAGGGCGTGGGCGGGCGGTGCCAATTGTATGTCCACTGGATTGAAAATTTTTTGAAATTCTTTTAAAATCACGTGCGTTGGGCGTTTTAATTTTTTGTGGAAGAGAGGAGGGGGAATTGCTGGAATTGGTGCAGGCTGAAGCAAACTCATGAGTGTATTTGAGAAATGCGGAATGAGAAGGCACTGCACTGGACACTCACCCGCGTGGCCAGCAGCCTGGTGCTGCTGCTTGCCGTTGCGTCGGCCGCTCTGCAGAAACAGCGAGACGCTTCTGAGCAGCGCGGCCGCCCCGGGGATGGAGGGGTTGCCCCCGGCCGCCGCGGCCGCCCCCGCCGCCGCCGGGCCGCCCGGCCGCGAAGAACCACCCCCGCCCCGGACGCCCCGCGGCCCCCGCGGCCCCCGCAGCCGCCGGGCTGGTGGACTTGGCGCGCTGCTTGGAGCGAGCCGACATGGCGAGGCGGTCGTGGTCTCACACAGTGGGCTGGAATCAGTCCAATCAAAACACAAACCAATTTCAGGGCATTTCAGAAAATTTTGGTGGCAGCGTGTTATTTTAAGTGCGGCTGACTCAAACGCAACATATCCATCATTACACAGTGCAGATTGAACAGACCAGCACTTTGCTTAAATTTTACTGAGAATCCGCTTTGTCATACAAACGCAATACCTGGCCCACCTAGGGGCGGGGCCGTCATGTCATGCCACACGACGTTGGTGTTGGCGCGGCAGTGTCTTCAAAGGCACTAAGTGGCTCGCCCGCGCATCAAGTGGTACATTCAGCCGATAAGCATGAGTAAATTGCGACATAAAAGCGCCAGAACTCTCCGCCCGGGTACGCCAATCGTCAATCACAGTCGAGGCAGTCGAAAGCAGAACGCGCCCGAACATGGCCGCCAAGATTTTGGCCGTCCTCGCCGCCGCGCTATGCGCCCTCGCGGTGAGTCGCGTGAACCAGCAACGGGCCGCGTGGTCCGCCCAAACCGCCTAATGTTTATTTTTGTTATTTCTGTGTTGTTCCTCATGGCCTTCCCGGTGTGCAGGCCGTGCCCGCCAGCCCAGCCCCTGCCGGCCTCCTGCAGCACGTGGACAAGTTCGACTTCTTCGATGAGACGGCGATCCAGAGCCTGGAGGGCGACAAGTTCACCATCCTCGACGAGACCACGATCCAGCACCTGCAGGGCAGCAAGCTGTTCAAGATCAACACGACCAAAATCCTGGAGAACATCGCCGAGTATCTGAAGCGCCTCGAGGAGAGGATCGATCTGGTGAGCGACGAGGTGCAGTCCGCCGTGGAGTCGGTCCTGGACCGCATCGAGACCGCCGCGGCGGCCGCGGCCCTCAAGTGGAGCGACGACGTGGGCAGGTGGGTGGACAAGGCCAAGAAGACCAGCGCCGACATCAAGGAGTGCCTCCGCGAGGAGCAGCAGCCCCTGGCCGTGGTGGCGGCCGCCCTCAAGGCCGACTCCTACCAGTGCCTCTCCGGGCGCCTGGAGACGCTGCAGCACACGTGGGAAAACCTCAAGGCCTCCGCACCCGCCGCCCTGGAGATCCTGGAGGAGGCCAAGGCCAAGGTGCGTGCGGAGAGCATCAGCGTGGCATCTACTTAATGAATTAACAGATTTTAACAGATTAGTTCATTCCTGATTTTAGGTCGAGAAGTGCGCCCGGCGGGAGAACGCCTTGCTGGTCGTGCTGTGCGTGGTGAAGGACCTGCCCTTCGTGGAGGTGAAGGCCGCCGCCGTGATCGCCGAGGCCACCGTGTTCGCGACCGTCGCCGCCGGCCAGGCCGCCGCCATCGTCCCCATGGCCTCGCTGTGCGCCACCGCCGCCACCACCAAGCACGCCGCCGAGGTGTCCGCCATCGTGGACGCCACCGTGGCCTGCATCAAGGAGAAGATCGCCGCCTAGGCGACGATCGACGCGCGGCTCGCCACCACAGTGATTAGGAATAAAGCTCGCTTGTAAAATGTGCTTAAGATCTTTTCTCGCCTGTTTTTTTTCGAACCACAGACGTTCTGCACCCCACAACTGCCAGCTATCTATCTCATCTGGCACTGTGGGTGGTACTGTGGGTACCCTCATCTTTATTCTCAGACGACAGGTCTTACTCGATATAGCCCTCTAATAAACAGACGGGAAGCAGACGTTATTCGCGTGAATCACTAAAGACCTTCGCCCGGCGGCCCAGGTGCGCCCAGGCGTGCACAGGACCCCCTGAACGTTGGACAGAGTATCACGTCCAAAGGTTATCTTCCCGTATTTCCCGGCCGCGTTTCCGAAGACTTCTCTTGGACCGCAGATCAAGTGGGCTATTAGGACGATAAGCAGTGTGTCGTGATATATAAGGCCGTGGAGTCCTTCCATGGACACCTCAGTCACCAGACAGGACCGCACCAGCAACATGGCAGCCAAGATTCTGTTCGCCCTCGCAGCCGCGCTGTGCGCTTTCGCGGTAAGTCGACGCTCAGAAGTCTGCTGAAAACGGCGTTCCTCGTCGCTCTGTCTCTCTTGCACTCCCTATGAGTGAGAGAGGCAGAGAGTCGAAGGCAGTGTTGGAAATCAGCCTGGCGGGTGAGCCTTGCGATCTTGCACCGTCAAACGCCTCAGCACCAAGCTCATCGTGTTCCCTCCCCGCAGGCCGTGTCCGCAGGCCCAGCCCGCCTGTTCGAGGACGCCGAGCTGGAGCAAAACAAGTTGGACCTCCAGAACCTGGAAGGCAACAAGCTCTTCTGGATCAACGCCACCGAAATCCTGGAGAAGATCGAGGAGTCCCTGGAGCGCGTTCAGGAGAAGATCGAGCTGGTGAGCGAGGAGGTGCAGAACGCCGTGGACTCCATCGTGGAGGGCATCGAGAACGCCGCGGCCTCCGCCGCCGAGCAGTGGGCCAAGGACGTGGCCAAGTGGGTGGCGCAGGCCAACCAGACCAACACCGACGTGCAGGCCTGCCTGGACGAGCAGCAGCAGCCCCTCGCCGAGGTGCAGGCCGCCCTGAAGGCCGACTCCCGCAAGTGCATCGCCGTGCGCCTGGACAAGCTGGGCAAGGCCCTGGACAAGGTCAAGGCCGCCGGACCCGCCGCCCTGGCCGTCCTGGAGGAGGCCAAGATCACGGTGCGTTGGCGGGAAAGCTCGGGGTGGTGATTCACGAAAGAAGCCTTAGCATGTTTAATTGAATATTCCTTTTTGTGTGTTTAGATTGACCAGTGCAACAGCCTTGGCGACATCGTTTCCACCGGCTTCTGTCTGCTGGGGGACATGCCCGCCGTCCAGGCTAAGGCCGCCACCGTGGTCCTCAAGGCCACCGCGTCCGCGACCGTCGCCGCCGCCCAGGCCGCCGCCATCATCCCCATGGCCTCGCTGTGCACGACCACGGCCACCACCAAGCACGCCGCCGAGGTGTCCGCCATCGTGGACGCCACCGTGGCCTGCATCAAGGACAAGATCGCCGCCTAGGCGCGTCGACTTCTCTGCGCCTTATTCGCGCTTCGAAAGGAATAAACCTCGCTACATAGAATAACTTCGTTTCTAAGACCCTTCTCTACCACCCAGATTACGCCTTAAAAATAAATCTGATTTTTTACGATATTTCTGATACGTTGTGCTTTCCTCTCCCCGTCAACGACAGCGTTTCTGACGCAAACTGCGTCGAGTGCCCGTGCGGCCGAAACGTGCTCCGCGGCTCCGCCTGGCCAGGCCATGGCCAGGGCCAGCAGGGCGAGATATAGGCATGACGCCCTTTGCACTCAGACGAGATGCAAGCCGCTACTCCACTTGAGGACCTTTCCTATCAACGCGCCGCCCAAAGCCGAGACAAATACGTCCGTGTTCGGCGGCGAGCTGGTTCTAAATCCTTTCGGCTCTCCAGGTTGCTCAAGTGCGCACGCCGAGCTCGAGGCGCGTGGAAGGTAGCGTGACGATTTCCATCGGCTTCATCGCCGCGTCGCGCCGCGTCGTCCGGGCCGTGGTCGGGAACGCGCACCCCCTCGCCGCCCCGCCGGGCCGTACGTCAAGCAGGTCGGCGGGGTGCCGCCGCGGTGCCGCATCGCGGTGGTGGTGCGTCTCGGCGTCGCAGGCGTTTGTCAAACGCCGCCCGCGCCCCGGCGACGCCGTGACCGCCGTGACACACGCCGGCGCGCCCGGCACCGCGGCACGGCCACGACACGGCACACCATCAATCAGGTCGCCGCGGCGCCATCAACGAGGCCTGCAGTCTGCAGCACGCACCCGGGGCCACGCACCTCCCCGTCAACCCGGCCAGACCGTCCCCCGTCCCATCATCGGCGGCGTGATCGACCCTCCCGCCCCGCCCCGCCACGAGACGCGAATTCAATTTGCGGCGCAGTGTGTTGTGCAGCACTTAATGCCATGTTGAGGTGCTCGGAGAGGGAGGGGGCAGGGAAGTTATAGTACCAAGCCGTGCCAACACCTCGGGGCTGACCAAACTTTTGTAGCCAATCAGCGCGAACTGGCGCAGCCCCCCCTCTCCTTCCCCCTGCCATCCCCAAGCTCATTGAGCTATAGCGTGTCGGCTCAAGAGGCCTGGTCCGCACGCCTCAAATTAACCCCCGCCCCACACGGTGGGGTACTCTCCCCCTGAAAAGTCGGCGCGCCCCCGCCCGCCCCCGCTCGCCCCCGCCTGCCTGCGGGCGAGACGGCCGCCGGGGATCACATCACGGTGCAGTCGCAGTCTGATTGGGTTTGTTTTGGCGAGTCGCCGCCAGACGGCGCCCCGAGCCGAGCACCCCGATGAATGGGTAAAAGGCCAACGGGGCCAACGGCACGAAGGCGAGGGTCGCCCTGGCCTGGGCCGCCCTCACCGATTTGCCCTCCTCGGGCCGTACCGTTGAATGACAGATCGTGTACCGAGTGTCAGGTGTCCGCCCCGCCCCGCCCCGCCCCGCCCCGCCCCGCCCCGCCCCGCCCCGCCCGCCCGGGGGCACTCGACCTTACCTGTACCTAAGTCGCGAGGCCTCGGCGGCCGCGACCCTGGCCGTGAGCGAGGGCGCGGTGCCTACAGCCTGCAAACGACATTGACGATTCGGAGCGGTAAAGCCTTTTTACGGCGCTACGCGACGCTACGTTACCTGCTCGGCGAAGGGACAGCGCGCCCCGCCTCGCGTAGCCTCGCGTAGCCTCGCGGGGACGCAAGATGGCGTCGTCGACGGGGAGGTTCAAGCTCGGCGGGGCGGCGCCCCTACGCGGCGCTGCGTGGCGGCAGCGGGCGACAGTCTGGACTCGCGGACCGGGAAGTTCCCTGGGCCCCACATGCAGAGTCCCGAAGGTAGTCGCTTCCAAGGACCAGGAAGCGGGCAGTGGTCAGGGGGCTGCAAAGAGCTGCGTACCCCGGGCCGTGTTTACGGATCACCTAGACGACAGTATCGAACTACGGGGCGGGGACGCGATAGGGCGCTCGCCCCGAGGAAGGGCGCGAAGCACCCTTCAATAACAAGGCTGGGCCTTCAGCAGCCCAGCGAAGTACAGCGAAGAGGCATTGGCAGTCTCAGAGGGTAGGACGTCGATATCTAACGCCAACCGATTGGAAGCTAGGCAACCCAGCACACGCCAAACCATCCCTCCACGCACCATGACCAGGGCACCTGATGGATGTCCTGTCTATCTTTGTTAAGAACTACTTGATTTGAGAAAATAGGTCACGGCATCGGCCGCCACTAGCCCCTGCGTCTTTGTATTTGAAAGACAGAAGGAAAGGTGTTTTATCGCATTATCGCACTCAAAGGGTGGAAACCTCGGCAACTGATAACATTCAGCGGTATTTTCCCTCGACATTTTTCTGTTATCGGCCCACTGGAGTGTCTCACTCATCAACACAGAGTGGCAAGGCCCATTCACGCGTTGTGCCCCACGATCGCCGCCGTTCCAAACGGCTCTCGAAACGGTCACCGTTCCGAACTTTCCCGCCAAGCGGTGGCGCCACCTCTCGGCGGCGCGTCGGACTACGCCGCACGTCGCGAGTTTCCTCCAGTGTCCGCACGGTGGCGCCACCGTCGCGCGGTGTGCGAGGTGCGAAACGGGGCGGTCGCCCAAACGGTCTGACTCGGTGTTTTCAGGAATTTCTTTCGGCTCGCAGAGCGAGTTCTCAATCCTAGTTATCTCCGTGAAATAATTGCGCGTGTTTCAATTTGCGTCTGCCGCTCGAGGGTTTCTTATTCATCGTGCGGAGCGATCCTCTGCGGCGCCTCGCTGCTTACTGGCGGTCCCCGAGGCCCCCGCCACCCCTCCGCGGCGCTAGCGACGACAGCGCACCCTGGCGGCCAGCAGGAGAAGCTCGCGACAGGGCCAGCGAGCTGTGAGCACAAAAACATCAATGGTGGACCCAGACTTGCACGGGACGGGTGTTTCTCGGTTTGGCTCGCGCGTTGTGAATGATATTGTGTGAACCGAGTGCCTCGGTGTGTCCAGATGTCGTGGGAAGCCCGGATTTGACGAGGCAGGTGAGTGTCCGGGCGGCTCGTGCCCCGCGCTGCGTGCGTGCCGAGTGCAGAATCGCTCTCCTTGCAGTTGGACGTCGAGTCAGTGTGCCGTTCTGGACGATGATGTGATATTTGCGGGATGCTCCGCGGGTTCCGGGACAGCTATTTGTGGCGGCATTTGCCGTGTCGAGAGATGAGGCTCTCGCGCTGAAGGCTGGACGCCTCGCCGGAGGATGTCACGCCCAGGTTTTCGAGTTGTGCCCTGGCGTGGAATTTGGAGGTTGGAAACAAAGAAACAAAAAAAAAGAGAAGGAAAAAAATCTTCAGTTAATTCATGTTGTTATCTGTTTGGTTTTGATTTTCGAAAGTGAAGCACTGGCAGTGACATGCCAATTTGCGTTCGCCCCCCCCTCCTCCTAAAAAAAAACTTTAAAAAAATTTAGCTTGCAAGTCATAGTACCCAAAATACCTACACCAGTGGGGAACTGTCAAACCGACGTCCTTTCATTGTTTTTTACTTGACGACTCATTCGTGACCGCGTGCCTACTCAAACCTGTTTACCTGACATACCCGCCGTCCGTGACTGTACTGTCGGGTGTCAGGTGTCGCATCATCGAGTACTCACGACTAAGAACACATGTTCGCACACCGTGCCCAATTATTTCCCTATTTGTTTGTGTTGCTGACTATTTTCTAAATTTTTTGTCGGTCCACTCAATGTTGACGGACGTGATGTGGTTTAAGCCCTTAAGCGCTTAAGCGCCAGCTTCGCTACCGGCTGGATGGGGCTTAAGCGCCCAGGATGAGACTTGCAGTGTGGCGGCCGACGAGCAGAGGATGAGGGGTGGAGGGTGAAGCCCCAAACACTCCGCCAGAGGCTAGACCAGGCTAGACCAGGCTAGACTACGGCGAGGCTCTAGAGCCATTGCCGCTATTGCTGCTCTCCTGCTGAGTGGACGAGGCTGTCCTTCCTCCATTAGTACAGTGTGGCGGAAGGGTCAAGAATTCGTTGGCGTGTGAGTTTAATTGGGTAATTAAGGCCTGTCGCGCTGTCCTGCAGGCTGGTTCCGAACAGTGCCTGTCTCTCTCGCTCCCTCGCACTCTGGGGGCGTCGCGCAAGGAAGGGGTGCGAGAGAGGCAGAGCGACGAACGCGCGGTTCGGACAGCCCGCTGGTAGTGTCCCTCTCCTCCGAGTACTTCCTCCCTGACAGTAGCCAGCCCTGACCCGCCTCACACAGTGTGTGTGCTTACGGTGCTATGAAGTCCGCAGTAAGCAGCCCAGTCAGCCCCGTCGGCGGCGCGCCGGGTGCAACGCTCTGGCTCTGCCGTGGCTCTGCCGACCGGCCGCTCGCTCGGCCCTCCACTCCGCGGACGCGGCGATGCGCTGACCCGCGGGTTGACCCTTTCCGCGCTAAAGAACCGCCGTGGATTACGTGAGTGTGTGTGTGTGAGCGCGCGTGTGTGCGTGTGTGTGTTCGCGGTGAGGAGCGGCGCGAACCGCGAAGCACGGAAACTGCAAACAAACCGCGCGTCTGCGCCGCAAGACGCCGCCGCACTAGAAAAATACACACACACACACACACACACAGAGACAGAGAGCGAGGGGAAGATTGATTTTGGGGTCTGAATTAGAGCCCGGCGTGTTTTTCGACCTCTCGAGAGGGTGGTGGAGGGTAAGGGCAGGGAAATGCTGGCTATGGCGTTGGGACCGTCTGGCCTGACACAGGTGCCGCCCTGCCGGCTGTTGTAAAAGCTGCCACTGGGTCAAAGCGGTAAAGCAGCTTGTGCTCCGTGCGCGGTGCGCGGTCACGATATTGCACCGTCCCGGCGGCCCGGTGGTGGTGCCCTTCCAAGCCTCCCGGCCCTTCCAGTGTGGTGCCTCTACGCCAGCGCGGCCCGGCCGGGTTGGTCTGGTTGGCGCCTCGTTCGACTTATCGATTTATCGACGTGCTCTACTCGAGGTTGAGGTTGGCACGGTGCCGGCCGGGCCGGCTAGGGCCTCAGGCCGGCCGCCCCGCGCTGGCTGGCCGCTGTGTAGTGTAGCGCCCCAAGCAAACGCCGCCGTCTTGTAAGAGCGTTGCACGGTGGGGAACAGGCTCGGACTGGCCAGGGCAGACAGGCAGACAAATCTGCCGGGGCCTTCGGGTTTGGGACTGGTCAGTAACGTCACAAAGTTGGTCAAAAAGTGATTGAATCTCCGAAAGTAGCCGTTTTCGCTGAATTTGGGCGGCCACTGTGTCCAATCTAGCTGCCGTAAAAGGCCTCCCTCGACGTCCTAGTATTCTTAAGACCCTACTCTTTCATGCCCTGTATCGGGAAGACGTTGACCACAACGATTTTGCCTTTGACCGCAACGATTTTGGGACCAAAGTTCGTCAAAAAGTGGTCGAATCTCGGAAATTTGCTGATTTTGCTGACTTTGGGCGGCCACTGTGTCCAATCTAGTTGCCGTAAAAGGCCTCCCTCGACGTCCTAGTATTCTTAAGACCCTACTCTTTCATGCCCTGTATCGGGAAGACGTTGACCACAACGATTTTGCCTTTGACCGCAACGATTTTGGGACCAAAGTTCGTCAAAAAGTGGTCGAATCTCGGAAATTTGCTGATTTTGCTGACTTTGGGCGGCCACTGTGTCCAATCTTGTTGCCGTAAAAGGCCTCCCTCGACGTCCTAGTAATCTTAAGACTCTACTCTTTCATGCCCTGTATCGGGAAGACGTTGACCACAACGATTTTGCCTTTGACCGCAATGATTTTCCGACCATGTTGGTCAAAAAGTAGTCGAATATCGGAAATTTGCTGATTTTGCTGACTTTGGGTGGCCACTGTGTCCAATACAGTTGCCGTGAAAGGCCTCCCTCGACGCCCTAGAATTCTTAAGACCTTACTCTTTCATGTCCTGTACGGGAAGGCTGTTGACCGCAACTAGTTTGGTAGCGGTAGCCTCACGAAGTTGGTCATGGAGGGTAAAAACAATGATGATCGGGGGCCTTTTGCGGCTTATCCGCCGGGGCCTTTTGGGGGCCAGTCCGAGCCTGGTGGGGAACGAGGAATCCATTGGTGGGGTCACACGTTTGGTTCGAGTCCCATTCAGCGACTCTAGAGCTCAAAACGCGTCTCGAGTTTTGGCCGCCTCCACCGGTCTTCTGGCCCACTGTGCGACCCGCGGAATCGTCGGCAGGCAGGCGATGACCCTCCCCGCCGATAATGTGTGGCCATCCCCGCGGAGGGGGCGGGGCAGCAAGGGGCAGCCCAAGGGGCACCTGAGCCTGAGCAGCCCGCCGCGTGGCCGCGTCCGCGTCACTGGATACTCAGAGCTGATCCCCGGTATCGCGGAACGGACCCCACTTTGCGGCAGCGCCCTCGTCCCGAAAGGGTCATTATTTTGTCGCTCTGTCTTCGTCGCCCTCGCAGGGCGCACCGGAGGACCGGACGGGTGCGAGAGAGGCAGAGTGACAGTGACGCGTGCACGCGCGTATCGGAGTGGAACACGTGTTGTACATTGTTCGCTCGTCCCTGTGTGTCGTTGTCAGGACCGATCCAAGCCGCGGTGCGTAGCGGTACGTCGCTCTGTCTCTGTCACACTCTTTTGTGCGCACGCCCGTGAGTGCGAGAGAGACGGAGACGCTTTTCGAAACCAGCCCGCTCCTGCTATCAGTCAACCATTAATTCCACTCACGCTGCCTGACAACGCCAGTGCCGCCTGCCGTTCCAGGTCCCCGCCTCTGTGGCGGTGCACTGCATGCCGTCGTCCGACGCGGCCGGACTCGGCCCCCGCCGCGTTTTCGGCGCGTTTTAGCGGACCGCTCCTAACGCGGCACGTCGCGGCGCCTCCAGCGTTTAGCGCGCGCGTCGCGGTGTTTCGCGGTGCTGCAGCCGTGGAGTGCTTCTTCACGCATTCCGCGGCCTGGCCCGCGGGGTCATCAACCAGGCGCGTGCACGGCGCATCACTTCCAGACGGGTGACGCGGGGCGGGGCGGGGCGGGGCGGGGTGAGGCGGGGCGGGCCACGACTCTGTCCGGATCGCTTCACTTGTCTATGCGGGCTGCAGTGATTACCGTCGCGCCACTGCAAAGCAGCGCGGCGTGTAAAGAAAGTCGGAGTGATGAGTGCGGTGGTCGTTGTTCCCAGTGTAGGCGCTGGGGGTTGGGTCGCCCTAAGTGATGGCGCCGGGGAGGGAAACTTTCCGCATTGCTATTCAGGACGCCTTGTCCACCAAGGACTCGAAGGGCTGCTCGCTGGGAGGGGGCCGGGCCCGGCCGGGCCGACTTGGAGTTCAGCGAACGCCATAGCACTGTCTGCGCCGCGCGAGTGTGTGAGTGCGTGTGTGTGTTTGCGTGTGCTCATGACCCCCGCGTTGCATGTGGCGCCACGCCGCCCCTGGGCGCCCTCGCCGAGCCCTGCGCGCCCTGCCCTGCATCCGGAGTGCCAGTGACGCAAGGACAACACAGTCTGCGCACCGCCGTGACGGATAGCGTGGCGGGGCCGGGAGGACCGAAAGGGACCCGCCAAGTAGGCCGTGCGAGGCACATCCTCAGGACGTCGCCAACGCCCTTGGTTACCTCATGGAGGCGTCGCGGACCCGCGTCCGCCGGGACCCCCGCCCCGCCGCGAACTCTCCATGACTCCCATGACGACGGCGACGCGCCGTGCACGTGCAGTGCACCGGGAGGCTGCTTGTCTCTCTCGCACCCACGGGGCGCGCCGTAGGGGTGCGAGAGAGACGGCGATGGCGCACGCGTGTGGCGGGAAACCTCGCGGAATAAACAATGAACGTTTCGGCGCGAGAACAAACAGTGCAGTGGCGTGCTTCGCGCTTGCCGCGGCCAAACATGCAGAGCGCGGACCGCGGAACACGGCGCTGCTGATTCAGCGACAAGGCGCGCCACTGTAGTCCGGCCGGGGCGCCGACGGGTGCGACAGAGACGACCGACGCATGCCGTCATACCTAGTGGGTGCCGCTGTGACTCACTCTCACACACGGACACGCGCGTCTGGGGGCCGTCTGCTCGGCCCTGGGGA